TGCCTTTCTAATTTGTCACTATTATCGCGAAATATCGTGACCAATGATAAAATGGCGTCTCTGATATCTTCGTGCCTTTAAAAAGTAATCAATTTAAAAACGATAACAACCGAAATAAATAAATCCATAAAAAAACGAAAAAAAAAACCAAACTCGTAATATTACTCACGAAACTGCAGGTGCCGCTCGAACGGTTTTTTCATCAAACATCGTTATTGCCAACATCAAAAAAATAAAATTTATATAAAAATTCATTTTTCAAAATTTTTATTTACAAAATGGCGCGCCAAAAATTTATCGTTTTCCCTCGTTTTTCTGTCTGAAATCAAAATAATCATGATGATGAGTGATGATGACGATAATTTACCGTCTGAGAACGTCAAGTACTGTTAATTATTATTATTATTAATAATATTAAATAACAAAGTAAGAGTTAATAACAAATCTTGGTCGACTGTAGTACTCAAGAAGTCAAGGTCGTGAATTATGCTTCGATACTGGCCACTCCGAAGATGTTAGTCACCGGAGCCCAGTTCGGAAAAATCGTTTTTATCGAAAAAGACGGACTCAAATATTAATAATAATGTAGTAATAATAATAATAAGTGGCACACCGAAATCGATAATAGTCATAAGAATCGGGTAGAAACCTCGGATAAATACTTAAAAAACTCCGACAAGTAGCCTTGTCGTGTTTAATGGTGGATAATAATAATAATAATAATGATACATGATTCGTTATCGATTTATTAATTGTTAATAATAATTAATTAAGAATAAATTTTTCTTTTGAGAGAGAGAGAGAGAGAGAGAAAATGTTCAAATTATTTAAAAAAGAAGAAAATTAATCCCCCGTTTATAATAATAATAATTCATATATATATATATTTTACAAATGGATTAAAATTTTTTTTTTTTTTTATAAAAAAAAGGGGGGAAATAAAAAAAAAAAATTTTTTTTTTTTGTAAACGCTTTGATATTATTTAACCGAAAACCGCCATATGTGTTTGATCAGTTCCCCCTCTTTTTAAAAACATTTTTTATATATAAGAGTTGTGAGATTTTTTTTTTTTTTGCCCTTTTTGTCTAGACTTAAATTTTTTCTTTTATTTTATAAATATTAAATAGCCTTAATGTTATTTATCAGAATTAAAGTTATGATTTACTTATATATAATTTTTTTAAAATATTAATTTCAAATTATTTATTATTAATAATAATGATATTAGTATAATGAAAAAAAAAATTACCGTGATTTAATTTTAATGAAATTTTACCGGAAAAAAAAAAGAAACGATGTTTTATTTTATTGATAGATCGACGGAAAATAATAAAAACTTTCGATATGCACTTATTTTAATTTAAAGTTAAAATAAAATCAAAAAAAAAAAAAAAAACTCTTAGTAGTTAACACATCGAATGAAACTTTTCTAATTGATTATACTGTTCGTGTAACAAAATTACCTCTCGCAGCCAAAAAGTAAGTCATAGAGTAAGAAAATCAGCTTCCGAAAAAATGTTAGCGCCTCAGTAATTTCTCCCCTGTGACGTAATAAAAAAAACTCAAACGATTATGCTATACCGCTCAGTACTACAAAATCGTTATTTTTTTATAAATTTGTGTATGATTAAATATATTAGTTATGAGTGCTGGTAGTAAATCTTCTGGGGTAATTTATTAATTTTTTAATAATAAAAATAAATTTTAGTTTTATCTTAATAATAATTATTATTATTCCGAGTTCGAAGTTTAATTTTAACCCGGTTTGGTTAGAAATAACAATTCGTGTAAAATTTCAATTAAAAAAATTAAATAAATGTTTTACGGTTTATTTAATAATTTAATAAGAAAAGTTATCAATTTCTAAATAAATGCATTTCGTTGTTAGTTCAATTGCAATAATTCTTAATGCAGAATAATATCTTTCATTATTAATTTAATTTAATTTATAGTAGAGGTAAGCCATTATAAATTTTCTTATTTTTTATTATTATTATTATAGCAGGGGGGTCAAGGAGATCAAAAGGAAAAAAAAAGAAAAGAAAGTATATTGGATTTATCAAAATATTTAGAAAAGAGTATAAGAGTTAAATTTGCTGGAGGTAGAGAAGCTGCTGGAATTTTAAAAGGATTTGATCCTCTTTTAAATTTGGTATTAGACAATACGACTGAATTTTTAAGAGATCCAGATGATTCGTACAAATTAACAGTAGACACGAGAATGTTAGGTTTAGTCGTGTGCAGAGGTACATCGGTTGTGCTAATATGTCCCACAGATGGAATGGAAAGCATATCAAATCCATTTGTTCAACAAGAAGAATAATAATTTTGTTGAAATGTGTATTGAAAGTACAATTATTGACTTGTAACATAAAAAAAAAAAAAAATTTTCTACAGTTTTTAATAACCTGTACACCATGTGTTAGAATAATTTAGTATTATAATTATGTGATAATGTACATTTAATAGTAATTTCTCAGTTTTTCTCTCCTCGTAATAATAATAATAATTTTGTACTGTTTTTTGCCCCTTTTTTTTTTTAAAGTTGTAAAGAAATAAAATAAAATAAAAAAATTTTTACGATTCTTTGGCTTTTGTGATGTGTATTAATGCAATAATCAAAAAAAATTTTTATTAAAGAAATAGACTAGAAAGTTTAGTTTACTAATATTTAAATGTAAGTCGCCATTTTGTTTAAAATTATCGATTTAATCAATTAAATAATTTCGTAAAAAAAAAAAAAATTTTAGTTAACATCAGTCTTGTCCGAATTCATTTCTAATCCATGGATACTGTTGTGGACATTCTGCACAAGTGTACAAAAATCTTTCCCCATGTAATATTTTGCTGTAGAGTTTACACGTATTTGGTAGTGCACAAGCTATTTCATGAGGTTCAAACTATTTAAAAATAACAATTTTCCTAATTACTCACTTCATACATTTATTTATTAATAAAAATAATTTGAACTTACCTTTTTTTGACAAGTCCAAGGTTGGAATTCATTTAATTTATTCGTCGGTGTAGGATTTTGAATCCATTGTATCGCTTGCCAATTGGTAACAAACCAAACGTCATTCTTGTACGAAACATCATCTAAAAATTTCTGAAAAAAAAAAACAAAAAAAAAAAATTGTTTGAATACAATTTAACAAATTAAAAATTTATTATTGACAAAAAAAAAATATAAATTACCTTGAACGCTTCCATGTAGTCAGGTCTCTTAAACCATGAACTGTGAAAAAAAAGACCGAGAGGTGCTCTGTTTGTTGTGTAATGTCTTTGTAAATTACGATGAAGAGTATTGTAAACTTCATCGCCTGACATATTCGCTGGACAGTTATTGATCATTGTACAGGTATATCCTCCTGCACTGAACTGATTTAAAACAATTTCCCAAATACCTGGATATGATCTTGTAGGACAATTTTGATCGGGTTGACATTTATGAGGCATTTTATAATCTAATGTGTACGGCCATAAAGGTGGATTGGAAAATGGTGCCACGATTGAAGAATCATATAAAAAACCAAATTCTTTCATCATTAAAAATTGTTTATTCCATCCGACTTTTAAAAATGGTACTCTTATTCCTGAAACGAAAAAGAAAAAAAGATTTTGTTTTAAATATGAAAAATTTATAGGTAAAAACAAGTTTGTTTTTTTAACGATAAAAACCTACCTCGTAATTCATCCAATCGTACGAAAGCAAATTTGTTAATTATATTCGCTTGTCCCACCATTTCGTCAAACCAATCTTCGATTGTAGCATTTCTGCTCCACCATTCTTCTGGTCCCCTATGACTGAAAACATAATTATATTAACAAAAGAAATTGTTTTAAAATATTCATCCTTGATGATTTTTATAGTTTTTTTGCTTACGTTACAGAATGAACAGCAATTTCGTGTCCATTGTTCCACATTTTTTGAGTTTGTTGATAATTATTAAATTGATGTGAAACATAAAAAGTTCCTTTAATTGGACAACCATTTGGATTTTTTCTTTCAGGAGTAAATATGTGTTCCATGTAAAGATTCCAATTTTCAACATTTATGGCATCGTCAAATGTAAGTAATATCATTTGTGGAATTTCGTTAATTTGTAAATGTCCAGGTGGAAGGGTACCATTTTTCGAACAGAAACATTTAGGAAGTTTACATTTTTTCGGATCGCAAGGTAGTGCACCGTGAGGATCGTAATTAAGATCTATTACGAAAAAAATTTTGAGAAAGTTTCATTAGTAATCCTTTTGAATAAAATAACAATAATAATAAATAACTTGAAATTTAAAAATTTCATATAAGGGCTTTTATTATGAGAGAAAGCAAATTACCATCGAAAATGGAAAGTCAGAAAAATATTTTTTAATTATTATTATTATTATTATTTTGGTTGTAAAGACAACAAATTTAGTTTGCTCGAAGCAGGTTATTATTTGAAAATGAATTTTGTAATTAAACCTTACCACACCATCCTTCGTCTGATTCATCCGGGCAATCAACACTTCCATCGCAAAAAAATTCGCTGACTAAACAAGTTCCATCAGCGCAACCTAATTCGTTATCTTTTAAACAACCGGCGCCATTTAAAAGTGGTTTTGGCGCTTTCCATTCTGCGAACACGTCACAATTATCAACGTTTCCTTTGAAATCACAAATTTGGCGCTTAACGTCAAAAAGCAATCCGAAAGAACATTTGAATTCGAATACTTCTCCATCTGAAAAATTTTTTAACGGTGTACGTGTGCATTTAAAATGTGACAAAAATTAGTATCTTTTTATTATAATTATTAAATTTACCTAAACAAAGATAATATTTAGCACATTCGTTTGCCAACCAAACTTTAGCTCGTGATTGTTTTGGATTTCTATAAAACCTTCCATTTTCTATACAAGGTACAGTGGTTTTTATATCGCGGCCTATAAAATAATTTAAAAATCAACGTAAACGATTAATAAATAAGTGTATATATATAAAATCGAAACGAAACAAAACATTAACGTGTAAACGGTAGATTTTTATTATAGTAATTTCATATATATATATAACAAAGTGTATTAAAAAAATCTCACTCACTCACCAGAAGTTAATTGAGCGAAAGTGAATAGAAATAATAACCGTAAGTACAACCTACTCTTAAACACCTCCATAATACAACTGACTGACCAAATACTGGGATTAAAATGAATGATTTTTTTTTTTTAACAACTGACCTCCTTTATAACCATTTAAGGTTTTCTCCCCCTTAAAAAAGAGAAAGATTCATTCAAGAAAACATTAAAAAATGTTTTTTTACATTAAACATTGACAATATTAAAACGTTAATTGATAATATACATAAATATCCATATCAATCAATATAGAAAATCTATGAAAAACATTATTAGACAAAAAAAATATCAATAGAAAGTACAATTTGACATTTATTATTATTATTATTAATATCGAAACAAACAATAAAATTATATATATTTGTTGTCGTCTTCTTCTTCTTACATTCACATTTTTTTCGTTTAAATTTTTATTAATTCAAACATGAACAAAATTCATGAGAGAGAGAGAGAGAAATAAAAGTATTTATTACATAAAGTTTTTTATTACTTTTTTAAATTTAAATTAAAAAAATTACATAATATAATAATAATAATTAATACATCTTTTTTTTTCTCTCTCTACGATAATATATTTTTAAAATAATAATAACATTCGATAATTCATTATTGATTAAAAAAAAAAAAAAAAGGGGGGGGAAAGGGGAAATTAAATTAACTTAGTTAATTTAGTTTAAACTTATTTGATTAAAAAAAAAAAATTTATTAAAAATGATTATTAATTATTTTATTATATAATTTTTCATGAGTTTTTTTATGTGTAAAAAAATTAAACGATTGAGTGTAAATTTGTGATGTTTACATTTAATTAAACATTTTTTTATTTTTTAAATTTTTTCCTCGTACATAATTCATCATAATCATATTAAATTTATTAAATTTGTTTATAATAATAATAATAATAATTAAACAAATGTGTTTTTTATGTAAACATAGAAGAACTCATGAAAAATTTATGGGATTTAATTTTTTTACATCTTATTACAGTTAACCGATTAAAATTTTTATTTATTTATTTAAACTTTAAAAAATTTATTATTATTTTAATTAACAAATAAATAAATACAAAAATAATAATTGAAAAATCTTATGTGTTTTACGATTAAAAAAAAAAAATAATAATAATTTTTTTTTTAAAAATAAGTTTTCAAAAATAATTTATTTTAATTGTGCAATTCTAATGTTTGTACTTTGTTAATAATGACGTCACGATTTCATTCATTAATTGTACAAACGGGTGATTTTATAGTGTCGTGAAAGTGATTTTGTGATGTGTAAAAACAACAACAACAACAACAACAAATAATAATAATAATACGGGAATGAACAAACGAAACAAAAAAAACTATTTTTATATACGTGCGGATTACATTTTACTAATTTACGTGGGGGAAAAATAGCAGTAATAATAATAATAATAATAATAAAATAAAATCTTACTTAATACAAATATCACAGTCTTGAGCTTGTACAATTTTCGTAAAAAAAAAAAAAAAAAAAAAAAAAAATTTTATATAGACGCATATGACAACTATTCGACTATGTTTATCTCTATTGGTGGAATGTATTTCCAAGAATGACTCGTGTTGGCTCTATCCGATTTTGAGGTAGATGAAGAATTCTCTTGGGATACGCATTGCATTCCTATTTTGAATTGACCGCAGTTGAAAAAAATCAAATTGTATTCGTGATAAACGCTGTTACGTTGTTCGATCTGAACATGAGAGAGAAAAAGAAAATCAAAGGATAATGATAATCCTTTCTTTGTTAAAACGCTTTGGCTTTGGGATTAGCTTTTGGTATTAAACTCACCATCGGTATGAGAACTTTATCGGCACCGGAATAAGCTAATCTCGTTTCTAATCTGTGATTGCTGTTACCATTTTTGTAATCTTGATAACATTGCAAAACGAGGGTGACTTTTTTCAACGGTTTTTCCAAGAAGTTATGAATCGTGACTCCCAACTGCACGCATTCACCGACCTGATAACTCAAATCTTCCTGCGGTTTAATTTGTTGCGAATTTAATGTCACGTCTATAAAAAATAACAAATTTTGTTCAATGCGGCCATGTTTTTCGCATTCGAACGGGAATATTTTTTTTATAATGGTTATATCATTACCCCATTGCAATGGAGACATTCTAACTATATCTAACATATCAGTGGTGAGAGAAATGCCTTTGAGGGAAGCTTTTCCGGTCGTTCCGGATGCGGGCAACCTCCACGTAATGTCCGCCAAAGAAGCAATGTGCTCGCTACATATTTTCGCCAATTCTAAACGATCTTGAAACGAAATCGTGCCTTCTTTGTACAATTTGGAAATTTTCGACAGCGGACATCTTTCTATCGGAACCGGAATCCGACACGACTCGTTCCCTTCCATGAGCATACACTTTGTCGGAGCGTAATGAAGTTCAAGCTCGTGATTCGTCATGTTGGCAATGTCCAAAACTAAATAAAACTGCGTACTCCTGTAAATATGTGTTGATATTTTAACAAAAGAAGGCATTGATGATAGTACGATACTTGGCAAAATCACTCACGTTTCCGCTGGTATGACATCCCAACCGGTAATATGCACTGATGGCAATACTTCTAAATTGATAGAAACGACGCTCATTCTACAATATCCGGCTTCGAGACCGGGTCCACCGGAGTAACGAATTTTCAATTGTCCTTCGGTGTACTTGAAGAAAGAAATTTAAAAAAAATTAATTCCGGTTAAAAACTTCTGGAATTTCTGGAACATCATCAAAAAGAAAATAATTCTACCTTGTTAGAATAGGGTAACACGACTTTTGATATCGGAGACGGGGGTAATCTCATACTACTCCCAGATCGACTGCTACTACTTCCCGTCGAACGAAACGACGAAGAATGATCCGTTCTCCGAGAGGATGGTTGCTTTCGACTCATCGAAGGAGAACTTAAATGAGACGGTAGGGAAAAGGGTCCGGAACCTAATAGACTGTTTGGTTGGCTTCCACTTTCTCCAGCACCTCCGTACAGCACGCAAGTATCTACCCCCCCACCCCACATAAATTGATAACGTTTAACCGTTAAAAATAAAACGGAATATAAAATATATATGTACTTACCGTCCATCGGCGGTGACAGGAAATCGGCCGTCGCATGAATATTTACGGCGAATGAACACACGCTTCCAGGCTGTAGCGGAAGTTCCGACATGAGACTTTCTTTATTCCATTGAAACGTTTGTGCTTGGACTTCTAAATCTAATATGGACTGCATTGTTATTTCTAACAATTCGACCGGATACTGACTATTATTCGTTATGGTGATGGTGCACTCGGACCTGAAATAAAAATTACAAGAAAAAATAAATTAAAAATGAACATTTTAAAATTTGATGTTTAAAAAGAAAATTTACTTACGTTTCTCCGGCGTAGAGAGTAAGACTTCCGTTTGCGACAATATGGGACGAATTTCCCAGGGGTGTGCAAGTAAGACTCTTGGGTAATGATGTACCTACTGTTATCTGTGGCAATGCAGGTATGACTTCAACCGTGAATTTACTGCACTGAAAGCTTTGTATGTGCTTCAATTGGCAATTGGATTTCACTCCCAACGTATGCGTCGAATAACCTGATGAGTTTAATAATAATAATAATATATTATTACGGATGTAATGTTTCCGTTGATGTCATTGAAGTCATTTTGAAGATTACCTAAAATTTCTAAATCTCCCACTTCTTTCGGAATCCCTGACAAAATACATTGCTGCAATCCCGATTCCGGGAGTATGGAAATCGAAGTAGGAATACTTTCGAAAACGATGCCGCTCGTTAGAAGCCTCTGGAAAAAAGAAAAAAGAAAAGTTTACGGTTAAAAAATGTCTACCACAACTGAAAATAATAATAATAATAATTTTTTCCTTCTTAATAATGACGTACCACATCCGAAACTTTTAATTCGAACGGGAGAGGATTTTGAAATTTAACCACGACTTCACAAACGTCACCCTCGACCCAAACGTACTCAATTTTCCCGCCGCTTTTATTACTTCTTCTGTCGAGGGATCCGAAATTAATTGGAGTGAAAAGAAAAGGTCCGGAATCCTCTTTCAACTTTTCTATTTTTTGAGGTCTCAAATGTGGTAATAAATTCTCTAATTGAAACGACTTAGCCTCGGGTATGTTCATCAAGTTGGCTGGAGGTATCACCACTCCAGAATCCAAAACTAAAGGAACGGGAGAGCCTTCGCACTGTGATGCAAATTGCTGTAATTGTAAAGCGAAATCCCTTTGATCGGCCGGAGATAATTGATTCCAAAGAGTTTGGAGAAGAAACGTCATGTGCCTTGTTGCTAATGCTGGATGGTCCATTCTTCGAGCTGCTACAACCAATTCTCTCAATAATTGTATTTGTAAAGATGACCAACCTTGGAGACCGTCTGAAATAAATGAATTACACATGAATTTTATGGAGAGGAAGAAAAAAAGGAAAAAAAAAAAGAAAAACATTTTTATATTTACCTTTGGGAAATTCATTGGGATCAAGTGTCATTTTATGACCTGATAAAGCTTGAAGAATAAAATTGTAACACTGAGTCCAATCTGGAGTTGGATTTTGAGCCGATACAAATCTTGTCGCAGCCAATCGACTGCAAAACGATGCTTTTCTCAAAAATCCAATTTGCTTGTACAAATCTGCCAACATTGTGAACCTGAGAATTTTTTCATGTTCGCTCAATTGAAGATTTATAAAAACTACATTTTGCAATACTGTTGCTGCTAGTAAAATCATGCCTTGCTCTATGGAAATTCTAGCAGCTTTAAAACAAGATTCTGTTTCTATGATTCCGGCATTTTGATACTGAAATGAAAAGAGAAAATTAATTCGATTGTTGAGAAAATTGTGTAAGTAACTCTTAATTTGGTATTCATGAAATACAAACTTTACTATAATGTAATATGGCTTCTCTGTAATATTTTGGAATATCAGAGGCTGGAAGGTTGTTTGTTACAGTGTTGACAATGTCAGTCGAATTAGGAACGATTCCATTAATCGTAGAATTGTCTTCTACATCATTGGACTTTGATTTATTGGATTGATCATCTTGGGATGATGAATTTTTATTAAGGGAATATGTTCTGTGCAGATGAGGATACAGTACCAAAGCTGATGCAGCACACAATCCTTCTAAAGCACCACCTAACCATAGCCAATCATTTACAGCTCTCAAAATATCGACAGCAGAATGATAAAACCCGAGTGCTTCAGGTAAAAGACCAACTTGTAGAGACAAATCTCCTAAATGTTTTGTCATTCGTCCGACACATCTTTTCTTGTTTGTTTTCGATTCCAAATCTAATCCGACAAAGTCTTTTTTTTCAAATGGTGCCAAGAGTAATGAAACTTTATCAATTTTTTCCCTGGATCTTTCTTGACGTTTTGATTCCAAAACCCAAAATAACGATGACAAAAAGTCGTGCATATCTGAATCGATGTTTACAAAACTTTCTATGTCAGGATAAAAAAGACCTCTTGTTTTAAAGTTGGATGGTGTTGTAAATGGTGTGGGATCAGGCACATCACTATTCACTGGACATTTGTTTTCTGTCAAACCAAATATAATACATTGGGAATCGAATAATGTTGACACATACTTTACTTTCAATGATTCATGGATTCTGCATAATTCGTTAAGTTCAACTTGAGTATTGCATTTTCCTACTGTAATTAAACCTAAAAGTCGTCTATGAGTTTGAAAATCTCCCCAATCATTATTTTCAACGGGGTAATCTTTAATATAACGGGCCCAAATGTATCTTGAAAGACCAGCTGAATCAATTATTTTTATTCTATTTATTTGACTTATCTTATCAAAAACTTTGTCAAACGATTTTACTTTTAATTCTTCTCCTGAAAATTAAAAGATTATTGTGATTAACTTTATGGCAATGAGTTCTTTTTGAATTGTAGTACGGTGCACAAACTTACCTATGTGTTTAATTAAAACTAAAATCGAACAATGATCGTGAGAAGTTTGTTCGTAATCCGGATGCGACATATTAGTGTCTGGCGCGGGAGCAGAAAGAATTACACTCACAGAAGATCGCATTTGGTTATCATAACAATCAGAAAGGAAAAATTATAGATATTTTTGTTAGCAATTTATCAGGCTACTTGTTAATATCATGTTTTGATTTTAACCAGATGACAAAAAGCAGTAGATGTTAAAGGAAATCGGTTAAGAACTGTTTTTATTATGTTCTTCTGACACGTAGTGAAATTTCTTCCTACCAACATAAGCTACAAAAAAAAAATTTATCAAGTTTTTTTTGTAGTTAAAGCTAAATGTAGAAAAAAAAAAAAAATTTGTTTGTCAGAAACAAAACTTTGAAAAAAAAAAAAAAAATTTATATGTTTCTCCGAATATTTATTTCAAATTGTTGCACATTTAATTATAAATTATTTTCCGAATGTAAAAGTGTGTGACAATATTTCAAATTGTTTGATTTTAAATTTAATTCTTTTTTTTTTATGCATTAAATCCGCGTCACATATAGACATGCGCAGAAATTACATTTACATGGTGCCAACCCTGTCTTGAACCTGTAGTTTAAAATTAAAATAGGCCACCGCCATTTGTGTCAATCCAGGAAGTAATTTTTTGAGCATATCATTTTTAAAATGGTGGTCCTTAATTTGTGTGCTCAAAAAAAAAAATTTATTTGGTAAATCCTACGCGTAATTAAATTATGTTTAATAAGTCTTTTAATACGACATTCGTGTGAAAATTCGTAGGAAGTAATGTACATTGTTGTTACTGATAATGACAAAATATCTTTCCAGTTGATTACAATGGAACAAATAGCTAAAATGAAGAGCAGCTGACGCATTATTATTTTTGCTTTAAAAAAAAAAAAATTTATATATATATAGATATATATATATATTTGAATAATGGCTTCGGGAGCATCTTCTTTGGAAAGTGCTGGCAGCGGTCCATCTTCTCTTAATTACACCAACAGTGAAAGAAGTTTGAATTCTAGTAGTCGTGATCACGACAGCTTAAAACAACAATATGAAAAAGCATTGTTAGAGGTTCAATTATTGCGACGTCAAAATAGTGATATGTCTCGTCAATGTGATCATACATCCAAAGAATTAGACTATTATAGAAATCAGCACAGGGCAGCAATGAATCAACTTGAAGCATCAGCTCAAGAGTCTTCCACTTTGAGAGTTAAATATAGTGAATTAGCAGCAGAAAAGCAAAGATTAGAAAGAGAAATTCAAAATCTTCAACAAGATGTTTCAGTTTTACAATCTCAAGATCAACAGGAAATAATTGCCAATGACTCCAGTAATCCGGATTCAGTTAATCAACATTATGTTTCGCTATCGAGAAAATTTGAATCATTGAAAGATGATTATGATTCTTTAAGAAAGAGACATGATGATGTATTAGCTTCTCATACAGCAGCTGTAAATAAACTAGAACTTGCTCAAGAAGAGTTGGGAAGAAGCAAAAGTCAATATGAAGAAGTCGTTCAAGAAAGAAATGATGCTATAAGAGAAAGGAACGGTTTGAAACAGCAGTGTACTGCTGTTATCATGCAGTGGGACATTGCTCTTAGGGAAAGAAATGAATATAGAGATGCTTTGTCTAAAGTTCAACAACAGCACGATGAGGCGGTCAAGGAAATAAATCAGGCTATGATTTTCAAAATGAAAACCAACAAAGATATAAAAAGGCTCACGGAAGAAAGAAATGCTGCCATGCATGAATATTCATTGATTATGAGCGAAAGAGATTCTGTACATAAAGAAATGGAGAAATTGACTGATGATTTATCACAAGAAATAAAAAAAAATAAAACTCTACAAGCGCAAAATAAAGATTTTGCAGAGGAAAAAAAAGTTTTATCCTACCAAATGGAAACTCTCAAAAGGGAAATTCAGTCGGCACTTCACGATAGAGATAAAGCATTAAAAGAATGTAACGATCTTAGAGAAAAATTTGGGGAATATACAGCCAAAGAGGATTCGAATACTGGTTTTAAATCTAGAATAGAATTTAATGCTTATAATAGAGAAAGAGATAATTCGAGAAAAGATCAAACGGAAGTTTCTTCAAGTACAAGAGATTTATATGGTATTTCTCAAAAGGAAAGAATGGATAATTTAGATCAAGCCAATCAGGAATTAGATGTTTTAAGAAAACAATTGGATAAATTGCAAGCTGAACTTCAAGAAGCCACGCAGGAAGCAGAAGTTTCAAAGAGGAGAAGAGACTGGGCATTTAATGAGAGAGATAAAATCGTGCTGGAGAGAGAAAGCATAAGAACTTTATGTGACCGTTTGAGAAAAGAAAGAGACAGGGCTGTATCAGATTTGGCTGAAGCTTTAAGAGATTCTGATGATATAAAAAAACAAAGAAATGAAGCATCGAAAGAATTGAAAGAATTAAAAGAAAAAATTGAAGCCCAGATAGAGAAAGAGAGTAGAGTGCAGCAATTTCATGCTGTGGGACATAATCACAGCCATGATTCTGCCATTGATACAGACTTGCAAGAATGGGAAACTGAAATATTAGAGATTGATCTTACCGGTTTGGCTTCGGATGGTGACTTGGGATTTGATTTAGTCGGAGGAAGGGATGACCCTCAGTTTCCAAATGATAGTGCAATTTATGTTTCTTCAGTTACCAAAGGTAGTGTTATTGATGGAAAACTTAAAGTTAATGATTGCATTAGTAGGGTTAATAACTTAGATTGCACAAATGTAAGTAAGAGAATGGTTATGGAAACTATAAGATCAAATGGTAATACTGCGAGCATGGTGGTAAGAAGGCGTAGAAGAGTGGGAGCCAGATGCCTTCAGACGACACAACTTCAAACTCATTTAAATTATGAACATGGGTTATCTTTGGGAACAGGAATTTATATATCGAAAATAAGTTCGGGATCTTTAGCTGCCAAAGAGGGAAACTTAGCAGTAGGAGATAGAATATTAAGTATAAATAATAAAACCATGGACGGAATGAAAAGCGCGAGAGAAGCCATGTCAATTTTAGACGAGGCTAGAGATATGATCACCATAACAACTCTAAAAAACGGAAGTGGAGGTCAACACGGAAGCACAGAAGATGACAGGGGTTTGGGTAACTCAAGGAATTCCAACAGTCCTTCTAAGGATCATTCAAACAATCATTTTAAAAAAGTGGTCGATAACGCTTCCCAAACGGAAAATTTGAGCTTTGAATCATCTTCGACCGATGAATTTCTTCCTAATCGTCTGTACATTAATTCTTCTAACCAAGGAACAAAATCAAAATCCAATGCCAGGTCAAAGGGCAATGTAAATTCAGTGACTTGGAATACAATAAGAGAAAAATTTCACAATGTAACAACTCCAAAAAATGTTAAGAGAGAAGAAAAAAAACACGCGAGAAACGTTTCCCCTGTGAGAGATGGTTTTGAAAGAGAGCAGGATGATGCAATAGCCGAATTAGATTCGGTTATAGATACTTATCACACGAAGCAAAGTAAAAGAAAGGAGAAAGTATTGGAGCACAATGGGGGAACGTGGCCCAAGGTCAGAGGTGGCCCAATTATTCAGCAGGGCACAGGAACAATCGTACACCCTCGAAAAACAAAAGTAAGATTACCACTCTCTGATATTTTATCCAACAACTCAGTCAACAAATATCAAACGAATCTTCCAAGGCGAGCAGGAACGCAAAGACCGGTTAGCGATTTTGTTGTACCATTCTCTAAATCTGGTCAATTAATGCATTCATTTCCTTCGTCACCTTTCAAAGAAGCGAGTATTGAATTTGAAAGAGATACGGACAGAGACAATCTAAGTGTGCAAGACCCATCGGACGGTAGTACAGATCTTTCCGTCAAGTCAGGAAATACCGGGAAAGATATAATAGATTATTATGCCTGCAGAAAAAGTAGATATGCAGTAAGTGACAGCGAGAGTAACGTCAGTCCAATCGAGACTTCTTTACCACCTCACGCACGTGGGCATTCTCAACTTTATCCATCGACCGGCCTTCGTTCTTTATCCCATTACCCATATCCTCATCATTTGCATTCGCACGCAACCCGGTACCAGAGTCCGACTCACGTGTCTTTCACTCACAGCGGAGATTCCATCGGTATTTTCAGCGGTTTCGATCCGCCCAGGACTCCACAGCAACCTTTTCACTCTCACTCTCCTTCCATAGATTACGCCAAATCTCTATCCTTACCACCCGGTCACACTCATCCTCCTTACAACAGGATAGATGAAATAAAATCTCCGGTTGTTTCTTCGTCGTTACTCGGACACGAAGTGGGAACGTTTCCCCGTAAAAAAGAAAATCCTCGAATTCGAATCCCCAGTAATCCTAGCGTAACGAACGCTGGAAAAATGTCAACCGGAAGCATAGAAAGAACTTCTGAAAGAGGTAGTCCTATGCCACCCTATTACACTTATGAAGTGTTGAGACCGGGAAGGGAAAACAAGAGGAATTCATTACCGGATTACTACTGTAATCATAACGAGTGAGTGCAATTAAATTAAATTAATTGGCGGTGGATTTTTTTTTAAAATTCGTAATTCTAATGAGTAAGGAATTTTGTATTTTTTTTTTTAGAGCTGCTCCTGGTGAAAAAAGGCGAGTTCAAATAGACAAATCGGTCGAACCTTTGGGTATTCAAATCGCATCTCCCAAGTGCGGTGGGATTTTCGTTTCTTCGGTGACGGAAAACAGTATTGCCAGTAAGGCTGGACTATTAATCGGTCATCAAATACTCGATGTCTGCGGGATTAATTTGAGGAAGGCAACGTTCAATTTGGCAGCAAGCGTACTTCAACAATGCGGGAATTCTATTACGATGCTAGTGGAATATAATCCCGATAGTGAGTAATAAATCTCATTCATTTAAAGTTGGCACAAATGATTGAGTTAAAAGTGATTTCATTTAACACGTCATGGGTATTTTCAGAATATCACGAGGCGGAAGCATCACCGAGTACCAGCGATGACGAAAGTCATTCAAAGTCGGATTCAACAACTCCTTGCAATTCGCCCAAAAGCAGTAGGAAATCGACGGGTGAACCCAGTAATGGTAATATGAGGGGAACGTTTGCTCAGTCCACTCTCACGAGGAATCAAATATCACCCGTTATTTCAACTCTTACTCGGCAAAACGCAGCCATCAGGTACTTTATATCAACTCCTTTCGTTGTTGTTTCGTACAAATGTCAAAGGAGGAGGAGGAGGAGGAGGGGGGGCGGGGGGGGATGGTGGAGAAAAGAAAATGTATATGTGAGTAATTTGATTTCAGGTGTTCGAACGACGGTACAAAGTCTTTACACGGTCCCAGATACGTTTGTATCGAAACTAAAAAATGTAGCAATCTTGGTATAAGTCTCGTCGGAGGTAACGCCGTCGGAATATTCGTTCATAGCGTTCTCGTAGACTCGAGTGCTTACAATGCCGGACTGAGAACCGGAGATCAAATATTGGAATGCAGGGGAACGGATTTGAGGCAGGCGACAGCCGAGGAAGCAGCTTACGAACTTGCAAAACCCGCTGATAAAGTTACTATTTTAGCACTTTTTAACATCGATCGTGAGTACGAAGAGCAAAACATTTTTTGCTATCGGAAAGAGATGCATACACACGTACTTATTCTTCTCGCGATGATTTAAGGTTACAACGAAATCAAAGACAAACCCGGGGATAGTTTTTACATCAAGGCTCTTTTCGATCGAACGGAAAATTGCAACGATTCGTTGCAGTTGAGGTTTCACAAGGATGATATTTTGTACGTCGACAACACCATGTTCGATCGTGTTCCCGGTCATTGGTCTGCCTGGCTCGTTGACGAATACGGTAGCAAAAAGCAACACGGTATAATTCCAAGTAAATACAAGTAAGTTTTCAAAAATCGAACCTTTGAATTTTGAATCCTTTTTCTTTTTATTTCTCATCAAAATTAATGTTAAACAAAAGGGTCGAAGAAGACATGTTGAGAAAAAGCATGGGAGATTTGGAATCGGATTCGAGACGTGGAACGACAACTGCCAGACGAAGTTTTTTCAGACGTAAAAAACATCAGAGAAGTTCGTCGAGAGATTCGAAAGAATTGGCAAGTTTTATTTCCACGATGAATTGGTACAGCGATTCTGGAACGCTGAACGAAGAAACTCCATTGTTTTCTTATCAAAGAGTCGAAAGACTTGATTGTGCGTTCGTTATTATTATTATTATTTTTAATTTGTCGTCTGCTATCCGAAACGGATTTGAATCGTTTAAATTTTTTTTTTTTTTTCGACTTCAGATCCCACTTATCGGCCCGTCATAATAGTCGGACCACTGTCCGATTGGGTGACGGAAAAACTCCTTCAGGATTTCCCGGATAAATTCGTTCGTCACGTTCCGCAAATAATGCAGTGTTCTCAAAGCACTATAGAGAAAGCCATGGCTGAAAAAATGTTCATCGATTATAGGAAAAAGGGAAATTATTACGAGTGCACAACGGTTGGCACTTTCAAAGACGTCTGTGATAAAGTGAGAATATGATTGAACCCGAAAAATACGAAGAGCAAAAAAGAGAATCCATCCATCATCATTATTATCATCATTGATTATTTTTTTTTGCAGAATAGCCATTGCATACTCGACGTGAATCTTCAATCCGTGGAACGTTTGCACAAGCATCAGATATACCCGATCGTACTCTTGATGAAATTTAAATCAACGAAACACATAAAAGAAGTTAAAGATGCTCGATACGCCACTGATAAGGTATCAACCAAGGCCGCTAAGGAAATGTACGAGCACGCGATCAAAGTCGAAGCGGAATGCAGGCATTATATATCGGGTAATGTTTTTTGTTGAGGAGGAGGAGGAGGAGGAAGAGTTTCCGGTCGCGATTTCAACCGTCACAAAAAAAAAAAAAAAATTTCTCACTTTTTTGGTTTCGTTTCAGTGGTCATACAAGTCACGGGAGTCAACATTGCGTACATGTGCACTCAAATCAAAAGCGCAGTCGATCACGAACAAAGCAAAACACTTTGGATGCCTTGCACAAATTTTTAATAATAAGAAATGAAGAAAAAAGATGGCGGAAGGATTGTTGAAGCATTACCAAAAAAAAAAAAAAAAATATTCAATGAGAAGGAACCAAAAAGGAAAAAGGAAAAAGGAAAAATTTACAATCAAACAATACTCTTTTCGTTCTCGGAGTTTGTTCAACTCGAATTATATAATAATCCGAGAAATATTGTGTCAAATCGGGTGAAAGTTGCAATAAGTTTACAAAAATTAGTTTTTTAAAAAAAGTTGTTGGAGAAAAGAGAGGGGGGAGGGGGGAGAGGGGGGGGGAAAGAAAAGGAAAATGTTAAAAGAAGGGGAAGAAGTTGTTAAAATGTTAAAAATTGTATTTAATGTTATTTTTTTTTTTTAAACAAGAGCTCTTGCTTGTTACAATTAAACAAACAAAAATGGCAGCAATGTAAAAATAATGATGATGATGATTACATTAAAAAAGAGAGAGAGAGAGAGAGAGAAAAATTATGTATAGGTAAAAGTATATATATATATATGTATGTAAACACATAAAAAAAAAAAAAAGAGGTTCAGTGCAATTGAAATTTTTTTCATAAAAATAATTTAAAAAAAAAAAAATATATAAAAAAAAATTTAAAAAAAAAAAATGTTTGTTTGTTTTCATATTAATAATAATAATAATAATAATAATAATATTACGAATAAGTAAAACGTGAAAAACATGAAAAACATGAAGAAAACATAATGAAAACGCGACACGAATGCCTTACAATAAAAAATTTTTTTGCCTTAAATAAATCAATAATAAATTTTTTTGATAAAAAAATATCGTTGTTGAAATTTATTATTATTATTATTATTATTACTATCATTATTATTACTATTATTATTATTATTATTATTAAAAATTTTTTATATCGATTTTAATAGGAAAAGAGAGAAAAGAGAAAAATTTGTTTGTTACCTTAAAACGTTTGAATTTTTTTTTTTATTAAAAATTTAAATAATAATAATGATAATGATAATGATAATAAAGGTGTGAACGTGTTCAGTACTACGGGGTTTAATTTTTGTTAAAATTATTATTATTATTATTAATGAAAATTCGTATCGAAGAAGTGTAATTAAAAATATTAAATAACATATCTTTTTTATATATATATGTAATTGATAAGAATGATAAGAAATTAATTAAAACGAAATCGTTATCGCGAGTCGGTTAATTTGTTAATAATAATAATAATGATGATGATGATGATAATTTGAAAAAGAATGATAAGGAAACGTTAGGCAGCATACCTGGGCATAATAGCGTACCCGTGAAAGATTAAAAAAAAAAAAAAAAAGTTAAAATTTGGCAGCAGAAGGAATTTTTTAAAAAAATTTCTAAAAAGAGCAAGAGAAAAAGAGAAAAAAAAGGTTTAAGGTTTACGATATAAAACAGAAAAACACGTTTAAAGGGAATATAAACAAACACACAGACACACATTAACGGGAAACAAGAAAAAATTAAAAAAAAAAAAAAAAACAAGTGCCTAAATTTTTTCATTTGTTTGTTCGTTTGTTCGTTCGTTCGTTTGTTTGTTTGTTTGTTTGTTTGTTTTCCCTTCCCCCCTTTTATATATTTAAAAAATCGTTTCCGGTTTTTAAAAAAAAAAATTATTTTAAAATCGTCATCATCGTCGTTCGTCGTCGTTGCATAAACATTACGAAATTGTCTTTTTACAAATAATAATAATAATAATAATAATGATAATGATAATGATAATAATAATAAAACGCGCCTTAATTGAAAAAAATTTTTTTTTTTTTTATATACAAGAAAACGCCTTAATAATAATGATAAGAAAATTTTATCGTTTTTTTTTTTTATATTGTATTTTTTATTATACGTTGTTAAATAATTATGCGAGAATGAATGAATGAATGAATGAAAAAAATAAAATAAATAAAATAAATAAATAAATAATAATAATAATAATGATGATTAATATTATTTTTATAATAAGAAAAATATTATTTTAATAAATAAATTTTTTTACATTACAAAAACATATATATATATATATTATTAATTTTATTTAAAAAAGGATTATACATAATAATGATGATAATAATAATAATAATAATGATAATAATAATGAATTAATGTAACATCACGAGCCTTTGTTTTTTTTTTTTTATATTTAAAAAAAAAAAAAAAAATTTTTGTTTGTTTAAATTGATTGATTTTTAATGCGAGCGCGCGCGCGCCTAAAAATGGGGAGTGGGGAGGGGAGGGGAACGCGGGCGAACGAATAAAATAATTATATGTAATAATAATAATAATAAGAGTGATGGTAATAATAATAGTGATGGTGATGATGATGATGATGATGATGATGATGATTTAATACGGTGATCACGGTTTGACGTCATCCATTTTTTCAGGTTCTTTGATAATTTGATACCTGGGTGATCTCGACGTTAGGCGAAATTCCATGGGTAGGTCGTAACATTTACAAACGCAACAGGAAGGAAAACGAAACCAATCGGAAAATATTCCACGACATTCGTTGTTTGGATCGTATGCTAAAAGACGATGAAGTCTGTATTGTTGTTCGCATCTGCAACCTTCTCTGCAAAACATTTGTTTATGTTCGTACCTGAAAAAAAAAAAAAAAGAAGGTATGAGTGCGTGTTCGGGAGAGAGAGAGAGAGAGAGAGAGAGTTGTTTGGTACTCACGTGCATTTTTCCCAATGTACGTATTGTTCGAAAGGATAAAGATTTAACAATGCCAACACTTCTCCTCTTGTGTTGTTTGCCCAAAATGGCGCGACAACTTCTTCTTTTACCGGACATGCATTTCTAAAAAAAAAAATGTTTGTTTGTTTGTTTGTTTGTTTGTATCGATAACATTTTTTACAAATTTGTTGTTACTTACATTCCTTTAAGACGTATCATTGGTGATGATGGCTGTTGTTGGGGTTGGGGTTGTGGTTGTTGTGGTGGTGGTGATGGCAAAGGTACGGGTTTTTTAGTTGTTGTTGTTTGTTGTTGTTTAATCGTTTCGATTTTTTCAACAATTTCTTTAAAATTTTCACTTTTATCTTTTTGAATTTTAACTTCTTCTTCTTCTTCGATTACTTCTTCTTCTTCAGCTTCTTCTTCCACTTCGAAATATGATTCTGTTGTTGTTACATCATCAACATTTCCTACTGTCGTCGTTGTCGTGAACGGTTCGTCAGTTTCGACATCGTAATCGTTATCATCGTTTGTTGTTTCGTTAGCGATTGTTGTTCCGGTTAAATTAAATTGTATGGTTTCGGTTCGTGATGCTACCGGTTGAGTCGTCGGTTCCGTTTGTGATAAAAAAGTGTAATTTCCGGTTTCCGTCGTGTTGTTATTTAATAATAATCCGTCACTTGTAAATGTTCCGTATGTCGCATCGGCGACAGTACTTGGCGACACGGTCGTCGTCGTCGTAGTACTCGTAGTGGTAGTACTGGTAGTAGTACTGGTAGTCGTGGTAGTAGATGAAGGATTTTTATAAAAAATTTTATTACCCATTTCCGGTTTGAAATTATCAGTTTTTAAATTTTTCAATTCAGTTTTATACAAAACGTTATTGTTGGAAGTTTCCCCATCGGAAATTGATTTTTGATTTTTTTCCAATTTCCCACCCCCCCCGGTTTGTTCTCCGTTTGAATTATCTACAAATTTTCTACTTTCGCTGTTGTGTATGAACATTTTAACGAATTCTTTCGTACCGTCCATGTCTTTGCTGTACCTTCTTCGGAATTCATCTTTTATTTTCGGACTCGTGAAAAATTCAACGTCGTTACTTTCCAATTCTGCACGTAATACCGATATGTGTCTTTCATCTCCGTACATTCGTCTCATCAAACCTTGATTTTCGTATACGAATCGTCTAACCGCATGCCTAACAAACAAACAAACGTATTATTATTATCATCATCATCAAATACTCGCCGATCGTATAATAAGTTTATTCTATAAAAAAAAAAAAACTGTTAAAACTAATAAAAAAAAAAAAAAAAAAAATTTACCGAAAAAAAAAAACTTGATAACTTTCCAAACGTGCGACCTCTTTATACGTAAATAATAATAATAATGATAAAAACCTGTTTATACGATGTGTAATGCGAATAATAATAATAATAATAATAATAAAAGAAATGATTTAAGACGAACTTAGTGTGGTGGTGATGATGATGAAAAAATTATCAATCAATTTATCGCAAACAACAACAACAAACGCAAAAAAATGTACATCGTTTGTTGGTAAAAAAAAAAAAAAAAAAAAAAAAAAATTTTTTATTATTGAAAACGTAATTATTATTATTATTATTATTGCGAGTGTGTGTGCGTGAGTGCGCGTGAGTTATAATCGGGTAGGTGGGAAAGGAGTAGAAAAATCTTACACAACAAACAACCGCAACAACCAAAGACAAATCGTGTAAAATAAAAACTGGAAAATTTCATACGGGATCGGTTCAATGATTTATTTATTAAATACAAGTTTCCGTTAAGTTTAATTGATCGGGGGGCGTGGGGGCCGGGGGTGACAAGGGGAGGAGAGAGGGAGGGGATTAACGATTAACGTTCCCGAATTAATTACGAAATTTTGGGGAGGATCAAAGGGAGGGAGGGAGGGAGAACACGAAACGTCCCTTTAAAAAAAAATTTTGCAAAAAATGGCGACGATAAAAAAACAACAACGTAATTCGTTCACCTTTTTTTTTTTTACATATATAAATAATAATAATAATAATAATTAATTAAATTTATCAATGAAACATAACGGTGGAACTTTAAAAAAATTTTTTTTTTTTTTCTCCAAAGTTGGCAAATTGCAAATATCTTGATAGAAAGAATGGAAAAAAAAAAAAAAAAAAAATTTAAATTCAAACCTGTTTTTTTTTTCATAAAAAAAAAATTATTCGTTTTTAATAACTACTACCACGACGACGACGGCAATAATAATAATAATAATAATTAAAGAGGTTTTTTTTTTTTTTTAACGGCTCAACGTTTACGATTCTACATAATCGATGACGACAAAGTTGACGAATTGAAAAAGAGGAAGGCAAGTCAATTTAAAATCCATGAAACTTTGTACTACTTTTTAAAAACAATAAAAAAAAATAAATAAAAAATTTTTTTTATTATTACAGCCGCTGCTGCCGCCGCCACCGCCACCGCCGCCATTGCAGTAACAACAACAACTACAAACGTTAGTGCTACTAAAACAACAATCGTAACAACAACAACAACAACTAAATCTTCGCTTACAAAACTGCTGAGTTACCATTGTTTTTACAGTTATCATTGATTATTATTATTATTATTATTATTATTATTATTATTATGACCGTCTAGTTGTTACAAAATCAAGTTTTTAACATAAAAAAAAAAAAAACGTTCTTTTTAACATTCACAACAATAATAATAATAATAATAAATTGTTTATTATTTCCGCGTGTAATTTATTTTTGTTAACCCCTTTTTTTTATTTATTATTATTATTATTATTATTGCGAGCTGTAATAAATTATGTTTAACTTATATATATTTATACTTACCAGGGATATGAATTTCCAGGTACGGTGCACCATGTTTGAGTACCAAAATCGCAGGGAAGTTCTTGTCGCTTTCTAGAAGTTCTATAACATGAAGAATATGCATCGAATCCGGATCCGTTCACATCCAAATATTGAGAGAATAACTAAAAAAAACAAAATAATAATAATAATTAGTAAAATTATCAAAAGAAAACTATAATAATATTATTATTATTAATGAGAGTTTCGAGATTAGTAATTAATTACAACATCATTATCATCATCATCATCATCATCATCATCATCATAATCCGTGATTTACGTTGCAGGTTGTCATTCGACACCTCCGGTCAAAAAAATATAATAATAATATTATTATACAAACGATAATTTTATTAATTATTATGTAAATAAATCATTATTATTATTATTATGTATATTATTACTGTTATATTAAATTACTACTCGACGGTGGTAATTTAAATTTACAAAAAAAAAAAAAAAATTTATTGTTAAAATAAAAAAATAAAAAAATAAAACAATCGAAAATAATATTCGAATTGTTATTATCATTATCATTATTATACATTATTATTTCCGAGCTTTTCCCAACAGCAAACACTGGATTCCCGCCTAAAATCATAACTGTACAGTAAAAATTTCGCAATATTTTATCAGATATATCAGAAAAACATGAGATCCAAAGAGGTAAAAAATAAAATAATTCAAAAAAATTCCCGCTTAAAATAAAATATGTGTCAGGTAAAATAAAATGAATACTAGGTCGACCTTGTATTCAAGGTCGACCTTGAATGCAAAAACGTGACCATGAAAAATTTTCACAAAATTGAAATGTAAAACCAATGGCCTTGTATTCAAGGTCGACCTTGGTTGAAAAATTGTGACCATGAAAATTTTCACAAAATTGAAATTTAAAACTAATGGCCTTGATATCAAGGTCGCCCTACTTATAATAAATCGTAAACGTTGGATTTTCGCGGTCATTTTTAACTTAAAATATAGAAGAATTTTCTCCGAAACATAAGATCCAAGGAAGTATAGAGTAAAATATGACGCAACAGTGTATTGCAGGTCAAAATTTATAATTTTAAACTAAAAATATGGCAAAATTTGCTTAGGTGTATCAGAAAAACATAATATCCAAGGAGGTATAGAGCAAAGTCGAATGCAACATTGGATTCCCACTTGAAATAAATGCAAACAACGGATTCCCGCTGGAAATAAATGTAAAAATATTGGATCGTCGTTTAAAATCATAATTTTAAAGTGAAAATATGGCAAAATATGTTCAAATGTATCAGGCAAACATAAGAAAATGTTGGTGTGGATTAACACATAAAATCAGGTGTACAATTATTAAATGGAATTTACTGTGTTTTTTCATAAGTCCTTATACTAAAATCAATTATTATATAGGTTACCAATTCCCCCTGACTTTGTATTACATTTGTAGAGAGTTTTACATCATCTGTATGATACAGTATGTTGTAATGAGATAAACTAACTCAAGAAAATGCTTAAAACAACCAACAATCAATAAATTAACCCTTAAGATTACAGAGTATAGAAATTTGTACACTGATATGACATTTTTGCAAGTAAAATTCAAATCTTAAAATTAGGTACTAAAGTCTTAATGATCAGATGTGCAAAGGTATCTTTAAACATTTTCTATTGCCCACTTTTTCTTTGGTCACATGACAAACCGTTGACCATTTTTTAAATTTAAACATAAAATAGTATATAATTAATACAAAATAATATAAAAAACTAATTATATTACACAATAAACTATACTAAATTACAAAACTTTTTATATATATACAACATATAACTTATAACTAAATTATTAAATAAAACTATTAAAAATTAATTAAATAATTCGACATGACGTAATATGTCAACTTATTTAATTAATTTTAACTGTTCTTCTTCGTCTTCTTCTTCTTTTTCTTCCCCTTCTTATTATTATTATTATTTATCATTTGATGATGATGATGATGATGATGATAGTAGAGACAATTACAAAAATTACGTACAAAAATTTATTATTATTATTATTATCATTTCGTCGTTAATAAATATATTTCGTTACTTTTCAATTTATTACGTAATACAATTAAAAAGTTTTTTTTTTTTGTTAATTAACAAAAACACGCAAAATTTAAACGTGGAATTAGATTAAAAATTTATATTAAAATGAAATTCGTGACGATTTTTTTTTTCCAAGTTCGCACTTTCTAATTTTTTTTTATTACTCACATCGCATTTATAAAAATTTATTAAACGGTTCGAACGATCGATTTACGTACATAAAATATTATTTTATTTTATGTAAATAAAAAAAAAAATAAATCGTGATTTTAAAAACGTTCTACTTTTTTTTAAATAGAAAATTAATTTTCGTTTCCGTTTTACGTGTGAAATTTTTTTTTTGGCGTACGATTTCTTCCTTTCACACGCGTGTGTGTGAGAGAGAAAGAGAGAGAGAAAATATTTTTATCCAGAACTTTCGATAATAACGAATTTACTTATTTGTAATTTCATTTAAATTTCTTTTCTTTAAATAATAATAATAATAAACATGACGTAAAAAAAAAAAAAACTTAAAATTTAAAAAATGTAAATGATGTTACAAAACGAAATTTTTTCTCTTTTTTTTTAAAAAAAAACTTTCATCTTTTCAAAATGTCGACTTTCACGTTTTTTTTTTTTTTTTTTCTTTTCTTTTGACACGACGATATTCGTAATCGATTTTTCTTTCGAAATTATTTTTTAATTAATTATTTTTTACAAATGTCTTCACTCTTCACTCCTCCATCGTCTCTTCATTCTTCTTTTTTTAACTTAATACAAATTTATTAACTAATAAATAATAATAATAATAATAATAATGATAATAAAACGAGTTTTTTTTTTCTTTTTCCTCACATTCGATTAATTAATTAAGTTAAAAATTTAGGTTTTGCGTGTGAGAACGCGTAAAAAAAAAAAAACGACGAATTTTTTCCCATAAAATTGCAAAATCACCGCTTATTATTATTATTATTATTATTAATAATTATTAAATACAATTTATTATCATTATTATTTTTTATTTTATTCTCATACATAAAAAAATAAAAAAAAATTTAAACGGTGAAAATTTTAATTTAATTAACCTCTAAAATTATCATTATTATAATTTTTTTTTATAAAATGCGTATTTTAATTATTATTATTATCATTATTATTATTATTATTATTTTAATTGGAGCGAAACGTAAAAAAATTTTTTTTTTTAAATTTCTTTCACTCGAGTTTTTTTTTTTTTTTTTCGGTTAAAATTTAAAAGAAAATAATAATAATAATAATAAATTCTTACGCATAAAATAAAAAATTTTTTAAAAACGCCTGAAAAAAAAAAAATTATTAATAATAATAATAATAAGTTTAAGAGCGACCATATTAATAATAATAATAATGATAATGATAATTTTATTTAAAAACTTAATTTTATCTTTATAAATTATTATTATTATTACTATTATTACTACAACTACCTAAGACTACCTAATGGTTTGTTTTTAATGTTATCGATAACGAGTAAAAAATAAAAAATAAATAAAATTTACGTATTTATTTATTTTTTTTTTTCGCGGTTTAGTAACCCCACAAATACTAATACTAATAATAATAATAATAACAATAATAATAATAATAATATAAATAGCACCACCGAAATTCGAGCATTTGTCCCTAAGGAATCGTCGGGTAGAAACCTGGGATAAATGCTTCTTAAAAACCCCGACAAATAAGAGCCTTGTCGTGTTTAATAGTGGACATAATAATAATAATAATAATAATAATAATAATGATGATGATGATGATGAAAATGATGATGATGATGATAATTTTAAAATCCCATTTCGAGAAATTTAATTCAAAGTCGCGATAACACAATAACAAAAAAAAAAAAGATTTTTAATAATAAAATAAATTCAATTAATAAAAAATAAGAAAAATGCCCCCCAAAAAAATTAATTATTATTATTATTATTATTATTATTATTATTATTATAACTATTATTACGTTAAACTTACGAAAAAAAAAACGATTGTTCTTAGAATCATCACAGATAGCGGTTTACCACCGTTGGGATACGGCGGTTATAATCAACCATTAGTTACTATTATCCACTGTTATCGTATCACTGCTACTACTTTTTCACTATCACTACTAACAAATGAAAAAAAAAGAAATATATTAAAAAAAATTTCACTTATTTTTTTTAAATAAAAAAAATTGTTGTTGTTGTTGTTGTTGTTTGGTAATATCATTTCTCGATAATGAATATTAAAAAAAAAAAAAAAAAAAAAAAAAAAAAAAAAAAAAAAAATGAAAGAATATTTTATTATTGTGACCGTGCCGGTGTTTAAACTAACACGTGTAAACCTTTCTTCTAATCATTTAAAATAAATTTTTTTTAATCATTTGTGTGCGTGTGCGTGTGCGTGTGTATGTGTTGGTTAAAGAAGAAAAAGTTTTGGTTAACAACTGGGTCACAGGTTGTTGTTGTTGTTGTCGAGGGGTTGGTACCGTTATAATGAACGAGAAGTGGGGACCTTGAAGGTATGTAAATCTATGTCATGACATACAATTTAACCATACTTTAGTCTCTCTCTCTCTCTCTCTCTTTTCATAGAAGGGAGGTGGCTTTTGTTAATAATAAATTATTGATATCATATGTAAAAGTTAGTTATATGTTTAATATTAATATTTAATTTTTTTTTTTTAAAAGAACTACCATATTTATATGATAATAACAACAACAACAACAACCTGTGAAAGTTTATGATGCCTTTTTTAACAAAAAAAAAAATTTAAATTTGGATTGTTATAAGATAAACATTGGTTAAATTAATCAAATTTAATAAATTTGGGTTTGGTTTTTTAAAAAAAAAAAAAAAAAAATCTTTTAAAACAATTGTGAAAGTTGTGTGTGAAAACTTAGAATACATTTTTACCAATTTGTTAATCATTACCAAAATATTCTTTTCTCTACACGTATATGAAAAAGAAATGATAATTATTAAATTAAAAGAGGATTATTATTACTTTCTCTTTTTTAATTTGCCTAAAGCATTTTCATAACAAAATGTAATATTGTAAATCATTTGACTTTTTTTTTTTTTTTTTTTTTTCATTAAATAAAGGGGGCCTATTGAAAATGTATTGTTGTCTTCCTATTGTAGAAAGTGAAAAAAAATTATAAATGAATTTTAAATTTAAATTGTTTTTGAAAATAACTTTTACCGTCGTGATAATATAATTATTAAATATTTCAATTTTGTTTTTAATTCTTCAAATTTTCACATATTTGAAAATGAAATTCTATGATAATGTCCTCTAACATGTCATAAAATTTTTTTCAATCATTCTTTTTCATATTATTTTTTTATAATTGTAAAAATATAAGTGATAAAATACCTTTTTAAATTAATCTTTTAGCCATTTTCTCAATTCTTCAAATTATAAACTAAAATAATTACGTTTAAATTAAATATTTAAGTAATAACATCTTCTTTGACAGCAAGTCAAAGTCAAAACCCGCCATTTTCTAATAAGCTTTTACTTTTCGGGGCCTTATTTTTATAGATTTCAAATTCAAAAGTTGCCAACTTGTTACAAAGCCCGTAATCTGTTGTGGTTGGCAAGTAAGTAGTTATACACGATTATAATTTTTTTTTATTTTTATCCAAGTTATAGGTAATCAATCCTTTTGTAAAATCGTGTTTCGTAATTTTACAACAGTCTTATACTCTTTAAATAACGGTTACCGTTAATTTTTGGCGGTTTTTTAAAGCGTTTGTTAATTTTTTAGGCTGTCACCATGGGGCGACGACCAGCAAGATGTTATCGATATTGTAAAAACAAACCATATCCAAAATCCCGATTTTGTCGTGGTGTACCAGATCCAAAAATTCGTATATTCGACTTGGGTAAAAAGAAGGCGAGAGTCGAAGATTTTCCATTATGCGTACATTTAGTGTCTGATGAATACGAACAACTTTCTTCTGAAGCATTGGAAGCTGGTCGTATTTGCTGCAACAAATATTTGGTTAAGAATTGTGGCAAAGATCAGTTTCATATTAGAATGAGACTCCATCCGTTTCACGTTATTAGAATAAACAAAATGTTATCGTGTGCTGGAGCCGATAGGCTTCAAACGGGAATGAGAGGAGCTTTTGGTAAACCTCAAGGAACTGTTGCTAGGGTTAATATTGGTCAACCAATTATGAGCGTGAGGTCTAGTGACAGATATAAGGCTGCCGTTGTCGAAGCTTTGAGAAGAGCTAAATTTAAATTTCCAGGACGTCAAAAGGTATTTGAACTTGGTCATTATTACCTCATACATTTTTATTTATTCCTTTTTTTTTTAAATTAATGTCATTTTAATGTGCAATACCTAATGGTGAAAACGACATTTTTTGTATTTGTAGATTTGCATTTCTAAGAAATGGGGTTTTACCAAATATGACAGAGAAAAATTTGAAGAAATGAAAGCAAGCGGGCGTTTAGCTCCTGATGGTTGTAATGTTCAATACAGGCCAGAACATGGGCCTTTAGCTAATTGGAAAAATGTCCAAATGGAATTAGCACAGGCATCTTAAATTGATTATGTGTGAAATCTTGTTTAATATCATATATAACTTTTATTAAAGTTCAATTTTGAAATATTTTTGACGCATTATTATTTTTAATAATTAAATTTGTACACACTTTTTTTTTTTTTTTTTAAATTATTGGGTATTATTGGACTGGATTCAATAAAAATTGTGGGTTGCATTAATTCATTTTTTTCCCCTTATTTTTATTTTTATCGTTAAATTAAACCAATTTAATAAGATTCGTCTATAAAATTTATTCAATTTGCAACCATTTCATAAATTCAATATATGATTAAAAGCAATGGGATAAAAAAAGCCTCGATTTTTTGGGCCCTTTGATTTATGTTTACCATTAAATCGCCGGCATTGACATTGTGTTTACATCAAAGTAAGGTAGTTTAGAATTATATTAATTTGAAAAAAAATGACAGAAGATCCAGAAAATATTCCAGCTATAACAGTTAAAGAACCATTAGATTTAATAAGACTTAGTTTAGACGAAAGAATTTATGTTAAAATGAGAAACGAACGAGAGCTTAGAGGTCGATTACACGTAAGTTGTAATCTAAAATGTGATTCGTTATTTTAGAAAAAAAAAGTTTTTTTTTTCATTTTTTATTCATATATAATTTTATTATGGTAATAATTTTTTCCCGTACAGGCATACGATCAACATTTGAACATGGTTTTAGGTGATGCCGAAGAAACTGTAACTACCGTAGAAATAGACGAAGAAACGTATGAAGAGGTTTATAAAACTACTAAAAGAACAATACCTATGCTTTTTGTTAGAGGTGATGGTGTAATTTTAGTATCACCTCCTCTAAGGGCAGGAGTTTAATTATTTACCTGTGTATTATATCTCAATAGACGTGAGTTATAGGTTCTGTTTTCATCAAAAGCCATTCATATTCTCTATCCAAACCTTGATTCAACATTTCATTTCCGACTAACTTTCTTACTTTTCTATGATAATCATTTAACCAATTAATCTGAAACCAATTTTGTCATCCCTTCTTCATCATATTTTTAAGTAAATATTATTATGATAATTATACTTACATGTTTTTTATCGAGCATTTCGACTTTAATCAATTTTTTTTCATATGGTATCAATGTGACCGTTTCGAATGTCAGATAAGTCGTTTTGCTGTTGTTCTGAAATAAAAAAAAAAATGGAACATTTTAACATTTTATTTTTTACCAATGATTAAAATTTACATTTATAATGTCAAAGTCAAAGAAGATTCCATCATTACTTTAATAATAATAAAAAAAAAAAAGTTTCGAATAAATGTTTATATCGATTATTTCGAAAAAAAAAAAAAAAAATTTTTTTAAACAATGACTTAACGATACATAACATGAAAAATGTTGTTATCAGTTAGTAGTAGTAATAATAATAATAATAATAATAAACTTACTGATACAGGTGATTTAACAACTGTGACTATATTTTCCAATCTCATACCGAAATCATCTTCCTTGTAGTAACCAGGTTCTTGAGATCCAAAGAAGTTTATGTGATATGTAGTGTTAAAAGCTAAAATTATAATAAAAGTAAAGTTAAACATTGAATATGTTTGGCAATTTTTGTAAATATTTGTGCATATATAAAAAAAAAAAACTTATGATACCTTCGTGAACTGCTAAATAAGAGCCTATACCATGTGTACTTCCGTGACCGTAATCTAATCCTGCTTCGTACAAAGGTGCCCTTATCATTATTTCAAGTTCTTTTAAAGTATAACCCTCTTTAAACGTTAAAGTTGCTAAATCGATACAACCCATCAACAATCTGGTATAAACTTCTTTTTCTATATCTCTAGGTTCGCCAAAATGAACGGTTCTGGTGCAATCGGTTGTACCATCTGATAAAAATGATTGTTGTGTAGTTAAAAGTATGATTATCAAAATGGAACGTGATTCGAATATTACCGTAATATTGTCCACCCGAATCCAGCATGTATACTTGAGTCGTATCAATGAGGGTATCAGTTTCAGGAGTGGGTTGATAATGTGCACTTGCAGCATTTTTTCCAAAAGCAGATATCGTACCAAAACTAATGCCGGCATTATATTTCTGTTTCGTTCTAAGATTATCCAAATATTCGACTGCTTTTAATTCTGTCCAATTTGTACTACCCCCCGTTACTTCTTTTTCTAAACGAGATAAAAATTGACAAACTACTAAACCATCTCTGACGTGACTTGATTTCATTCCAGCTATTTCAACTGGATTTTTATAATCTTTTAAAAGTAATGCTGGAGAAACTATCATTGATATTTTATCTTCTGGTACCTGTGATATAAAAATCATAATTATTTTTCTTTCCTTATATTTAAAATGAGTGTTTGAATATTTATGTAAACCTACAGAATCAAACATTAAATAACTGACGCCGTTAAAATAACTATATTTAGAAGGTAAACCTATTTTTTGACATTCCAAAGATGGCAAATCGTTCCAAATTTCTTCATAATTTTTTATTCTGAAAATCAAAAACACAAGAGTATAATACTTTAGTAAAAATTTTAAAAAAAATGTATTTTTATTGATCACAATCGATAACGTACATAACGTATTGTCCAGATTGAGTAAAATTAGAATTTAAATGATCAATTACTTTCCAAGTAATTTTTTTTTCCGATACGTATAAAATGGCTCCTTCCATTTGAACAATTAAATAAGAATAAAAAACTGGAAAATATGATATGTCGGATCCTCTTAAATTCAAAGCCCAAGCGATTTCATCGAGAGCCGAAAAAACAAATGCATCCAAATTATTTTTTCTCATATAATCACGTATAAGATTTAATTTATCTTCCCATTTCATTCCTAAAAGTATCATTTATCGAATTAAGAAATTTTTTTATTTAAAAAACCGATTATTTCAAGTTAAAAAAAAAAGTTTTTCACCTGCAAATTTAACATCTAAAACTTGTATGGGTTTAATATCGTAATCGGGTCTGCCATTTTCATTCGTCCATATTTCATCAATTAAATTTTTTCTAACGACTTTCATGGATATATCATTTTTTTCTATTCAAAATAAAAAAAAAAGAAAACCTTTTTATTAAAATATTAATTTGAAACACGATGTATAATAAGTGTATGAAATGTTATACGATACCAAAAGTTTTTTTCCAATTATTCCATTTTTCATAAGATAAAATTTTTGGATCGGATGAAACAAAATCCCCGCTTTTTAATTCTGATGATAGCAGCCATTTTTCTATGCTCGGGGTACTAGACAAACCCATTCTCATAACGATCCAATTACAATCGGTTTCGTCATCCGCTTGTATGTAGTAACGGCTGTCAGTCCATAAAGCAGCAGATTTTAACGTGACGACAGCTATTCCGTTACTTCCGGAAAAACCGGAAATGAATTTAAGCCTTTTGTCGTGTTCGCTAACGGTTTCTGACTGTTTTAAAAATGGTGCGATACGTACATGAACGTGAGGAGTAATTTTTTATTTTGTGATTGTGAGTGTTATACGAATCGTTTTAAAATGATAATTTCATTTGAATAAACGTTACCTGATGTTCGTCGGCGGATAATATAATGTAAGCTGATATATTTTCTGAAATCATAACTTTTCTTAATTCTTCTAACCTATTTGTCGTGTTGACTTTTCCAAATTGTTTGTCTTGTTTGTTTCCTTCGCATATTTTACGAGGTTTGAAGAATTCTGATGCAATTACGACAGCATGATAATTCAATGGTGGTGTGTAACATTGTACAACAATAAAATTCTGTAAAAAATCTGAAAAAAAAAAACCATTAAAAAATTTTTTTTTTCTTATACTCAATTTCAATGTAAAAAAGCAAATTACTTACTCAATATTAATAATATTATTAATTTTTCTTTTAACATATTTGTATTATTTGTTTTGTCACAATAATCAATCATTCAACAACATAAATTGATTACAAATAAATTTATTTGGAATAATCTAAATTATCATTATCAATAATGCACTGATTACAATCACTGAAAATATTTAAATTAAGATATACTTAATAAAAAAAAAATTTTTTTTTATTTTTTATTTTTGTTTATCTTAATTTTATTACAAAGCCTGCAAGACATAAAAAATATTCAACAATTTCTCAGATAAAAAAAAAAGAAAAGTTTTAAAACTTTTATTAATTTTTAATTTGATTTTAAAAATTAAAATTAAAAATTCAATTGATTTATAATAATAATAATAAAAAACTTGTTTGAATTATTTTAAATTTAATTATGTTAATTATCAATTTAAATTTAATTTATATATATAAATAAATGTGTGTGTGTGCAAAAAAAAACTAATTCTTACTTAATTTAAAAAAAAAAAAAAAAAACTTTTAAAATTTCATTTATTATGTAATAATTAATTAATTAAATCAATTCAAAAATAAATAAATAAATAAATATATACTGGTAGTAAAATTAGGTTTGTACATGAAAAAAATTTTGATATTTGTAATCAATCAATTCCAAATTTTCAAATTTAATTTTTTTTTTAAAAACAAAATGTTTCCCTTTTTTCCTTTTAATGTTTTTTAGTTAAACTCTTATTATTCACTTACTTGTATTATAAATTAATTCCTTTCTTTTTTTTAATTTAGGGATTTAGGAAAATTTTTACCATAAAATGGACAACCCTGAACAAGAAGATATTATTATTATTATTATTATATGAATGCGGGTGAATGAATGGATTTTTTCAATCAAATATCAATAAGGTAATATTTTTTTTATTGGGTTATGGTATATTAATCGCTTTTCTCTCTCTCTCTCTCTCTCTCTTTCTCTCTCTGGACATAAAAAAAAAAAAAACAATTTTTTTTTTTTTTGTTAAGAGTCACTTACTTGCATGTATATTTCATAAAAAAATTTTTTTTTTTTTTACAAAAAATAATTATTTTAAACTACTTTATATCGAGCTTTGTTTAGAATGTGATGAGGCGAAGTTTGTAATTTTAATAATTCCTCCTTTATTAACCTCGTGATTTCAACTTTGGCCTTTGACACGGCTAATTCGTTTGTACTTTCTATCGCCAGATATAATTTTCTTTCTCCATCGGGTTCGACTTTTTTACCCGGTGGATAAAATGTACCCCTCACCGTGATACCCGCTTCTGAATATTCGCTGATTTGAGCCAAAGCTTCCTGTTGGGGGGGGGGCGGAAAAAAAAAAACGAATGAAAAAGGTGGTCGATACAATTTTTTTGTGTTTTTTTTTTGTCTTACCTTTGACGTGACTCGCCATCTTGCCTGTTGTGGAAAATCGTTTATTTCCAATTCTTCTTCGTATTTTCTAAACGTTTCAACTTGTTCTTCGTCCATTTTATCATCGTCTTCTCTCGGTTGATAATTTAATTTTGTATTAAGTTTGGCAGCTAATTGTTCTGCTACGGTTTTCGGCTGAAAATTAGGAAAAAAAAAATCAGAATTAGAATTCGAAAACTTTTCGTTTTGTAAGATGTAGATAAAAAAAAAATGACTTACCGTGATTAATGGTTGGGATCCTGCTCCTTTCAAAATGGCTTCCGCCGCTTGTTGAGTCGCTCCCTTGGCATCCGGACCCAGATTTTTAGCCATGTTTATTTTCGATGCTCTCATTTTGGCCAATTCGAGTTTGTCTGTCGTTGAAGGCGTGTGATTGGGAACTCCGGGAGTTGGACCTAGAGGATTGATCGTTCCTATGGGTGCTTTTATTTCTTTCACTATTCGCTTAGGAGCCAACATATTTTCTATTTGCTGATCGATATCCTGTTCCAAATCCTCATCGTCAGAATCTTGAAGACCCAGTGCCGCTTTTTGAAATTTCTTCTTTTCGTTTGCCATCATGGCTTCGGATTCGTCGAATTTGAATCCCTTTCCGCTGAATCCTCCGCCGGTGTGAACTTTTTTCCCCTCCGCAGCTAATTTCGCCTTGTATCGATCCCATAAATTCCTTAACGATTCGGGAACGGCGACGGATGACAGTTCGAGAGCTCGAATAATTTCACCCGCGTAACGTTCTTGTTCGGGTGTTATGAAAGTGTAAGCGACTCCTTTATTACCCGCTCTACCCGTCCTGCCACATCTGTGAACGTAATCTTCGTAATGATTGGGACAATCGTAGTTAACGACCAGAATCAATTGCTTCACATCGAGTCCTCTCGCCGCAACGGAAGTTGCTATTAAAAGTTTCACTTTACCGGATTTAAAATCGATTATCGTACTATCTCTATCGAACTGATCGATTCCACCGTGTAATGACATGCTCGGGTAAGAAGCTTTCATAAGTTCTTTAAGTAGATCATCCGCACTTTCTTGTTTGTCAACGAAAACTATCACACTACCTTGATTTTGATATATACCCAATAGTTCTAACAATTTTAAAAACTTTTTATCCTCGTCCAAAACGACCACGTGTTGTTCCACGTCTTTACACACCACGCTTCTCCCACCAACTTGAACTTCTATGGGTTTCGTCAAAATTCTTCGGGCTAAAGCTTCCATTTGCCTGGGAAACGTAGCACTGAACATTACGGTTTGACGGTCGGGACGTACGTTGTCGATTATACGCATGACCTGGGGTTCGAATCCCATATCGAACATTCTATCGGCTTCATCCAATACGATATACGTGACTCTGAGCAAATTGGTGACGCGACCACTGTTTGCGGCAAGCATATCGATCATTCTTCCAGGCGTGCAAACAACAATATCAGCCCCTCGTTTCAATTCTGCAATTTGCTCCGATATTCCCGTGCCACCGTAAACGCAGACAACCTTGAGAGAAACGGATTTTGAAAATTTTTTGCAATCTTTACCTATTTGCATACATAGTTCTCGGGTAGGCGTCATTATGATAGCAATAGGCCCATCGGTTTCCTCTAACGGAGGCTGATCTAATATGTGACGAAACATGGGAAGAAGAAAAGCCAAAGTTTTACCACTTCCCGTTTTTGCTATACCGATGAGATCTCTTCCAGACATAATAGCCGGAATGGCTTGGGTTTGAATGGGTGTTGGCTTTTCGAAACCATTTTTTTTTAAAATTTCTAAAACTTTTTTGCTGACTCCACACTGAGCCCATTCTTTTATTGGTTTCGGACAACCTTTTCCTTTGACTCTGATCCCTTCCAAATCCTCCCTATATTTTTCAACTTCTTCGTTAGTCATTTTAGCAATTTCCGGTACTTCGATATAAAAATTTTTTCTAAATGGTAAATAATTTATCGTCGAATGATCCACTTTAGCCAAATCTTTTTTTTGCCTGTTGGCAATACCGTCAGCAGTCAATTTCAAATCTTCCATTTCTTCTTCCGACGAATATTCCAAACCATCTTGATTTTGTTCAATCAATTCACCCTTTTTCTTTTCGACTTTTTTTTTCGCTACCCCGGTTAAAATTACCAATCCCGGTGCATTTCCTTGTTCACCCTGTTTCCCTGGTTTTTTAATTTCCAATTTGTTGACGTGACGAACTTCTTCCTCGACGGTTTGCATGAATGCATCTAAAGGATCCAATTCTTCATCGTTATTTTCTCCTGCTTCCTTTTTATCTTCTTCTTCTTCATCGCTATCATCTTCCAGATTCCATTTTTTTTGAGGGATTTGAATGTTAGCTATTGAAAAAAAAGGTTTAAGTAAAAGGTTTAACAAATTAAAAGATTGTTAATAGTTGACTTTCTACGACAGAATATTTACTTTACCTATTGTCCCTTTTAAATCTTTTTTCGTTGCTTCCAATTCTTTTTTTTTCCTTTCAGCTCTCCACCTTTCGATTCTTTCCCTTCTTTTTTGCATTTCTTGTTCTAATCTTTTTTGTTCTTCTTCCTATCGGAAAAAAAAATAAAAATGAGACGATTAATTTTTTAACAAATCACATTCTAAAATAACTCGAAACCACAAGATGTACAGTTTGATATAGAAAACTCGACTAGAGCTAATCGATAATTGTAACAAAACGGTACCTTATCTAAATTGGTAGCATCAAACACAGAATCTTCTTTTTCTTCTTTTTTGGGAATGTAATCTTTAGATTTAGATCGCGATCTGTCTTTTCTCAATGACTTCCCATGACTTTTAGAATGTTTTTTTTCTCTACTGCTCCCTCTAAAATCAACACAAACGAATTCTTGAAAGCTTAACAAAAAAAATTTTCTCATTTAACAAGAATAAAAACTAATCATATACCTTTTACGTTCGTGATCCCTCGATCTTTCTTTACTTCTGCTTTTTGACCGCCTATATCTATCCCTATCACCATCTTTAATTCTATCTCTGGAACGACTCCTTTTATGCCGGGATTTTGTTTTTTCCCTACTCCTCGATCTCCTACTTCTTTTTTTTTCAACGCTTACACTCCTCGATCTCGAACGAGATCTTTTACGATGACTGAAACAATGAGTTCATAAAGTAACAAACACATCCTCCATAAAATACCACAGTAAAATTTTTTTTTTTTAACTTATAACAAAAACTTACCTACTGCTTTTTACCATTGTATATATATTTAAAAAAACGGTTACCTAATAACAAACTAAAAAAAAAAAAAAAAAAATTTTTGTTCCCTTTACGTTATTCTAAATAATTCACATGTTTATAAAATAATAAGCTTTCATTTCAAATACTTGAGCAAAGTAAAAAACGTCGTGGAATTAGAATCGCAATATGTAAACTTTACAAAAAAAAAAAAAAAAAAACACGATCAATGCCCGCCAAAAATTTACACGATGATAAATATACATCAATGTTTTACATATAAATAATAATTCTCGGGTAGTGAAAAAAATAATAATAATAAAATGTAAATGCAGTGATAAAATTAATGAAAAGTGTACCGTTTGTTCGTTTTTATGTTATTGTTTTAATAAATGTGAAATGGAGAAATTTGAAAAAGTTGAAAAAATCGGTGAGGGAACTTACGGTATAGTTTTTAAAGCCAAACATAGGATAACAGGAGAAGTTGTTGCATTGAAAGGAATTAGGTTAGATGGTGATTCCGAAGGTGTTCCATCTACGGCACTAAGAGAAATAGCATTGCTCAAAGAACTCAAACATCCAAACGTCGTTCAACTATTGGAAGTTGTTCACATGGAAAAAGTTTTATATTTGGTTTTTGAATATTTTTATCGGGATTTGAAAAAATTCATTGAAAAAGTCGACGGTGACATACCGATTAAATTAATCAAAAGTTATTTGTATCAATTGTTAAAAGGATTGCAATATTGTCACACTAATAAAACATTACACAGGGATTTGAAACCGCAAAATTTACTCATAGACACATTGGGCAATATAAAATTAGCTGATTTCGGTTTGGCTAGAACATTTGGACTACCGACACGTTCATTTACTCACGAAGTCGTCACATTATGGTATCGTGCACCGGAAATATTATTAGGTAGTAAATATTATACGGTCAGCGTTGATATATGGAGTTTAGGATGTATTTTTGGTGAAATGGTAAGGTTGTTTTAGACATAATCGATTCAAACCCCCCCCCAAAACTTATTTATCACTTACCTTTTTTTTTTTTTCATCGAATCAAGGTTATGAAAAAAGCAATGTTCCCTGGAGATTCTGAAATAGATCAATTATTTAGAATATTTAGAGTTTTAGGAACACCTCACGAAGGTGTATGGCCAGGAGTTACACAATTAGACGATTATAAATGTAGATTTCCAGTATGGGAACCAATGTCATTGGGAGAGGAAATCATTCCAAGGCTCGATGATAAGGGTATTGATTTACTTTCAAACATGTTAAAATATGATCCATCTAAAAGGATATCTGCCATGGAAGCTTTGGATCATCCATTTTTTGAAAAAGTCGAATTCGTTCCTCCTCCATTGGACTACGAAAGAAGTAGTTCAACTTCGAGTACTGATTGACATAAAAATTATCATTATTATTATTATTATTATTATTATCTGTGATATATATATTATTTTATTTTTTATTTTTTTTTTTTCGTTTGTCGTGTCAGTGGTAATATGTATTTTCAATAATTGTTAATTATTTCTTTCCTAATCCGTAATATTTAAACATAAACAATGCAAATCATTTTTTTCTTTTTCGTGTCACGTGACCATATTAATAACATTCTTAATAATAATAATAATGATAATAATGATAGTGATAATAAAAGTGTCGAGTGAATATTAGTTTCTTTTTTAAATTAGTTTTTATAATATTTATTGTGTTTAATAACGAGTGTGTTCAACTGTGTCAAATGTATTATTATTATTATTATTATTTTTAATGATTGTGATTGAAATTAATTAATTAATTAATTAATTGATAATTATTTAAAATATTATAATTTGATATTTATACGTGTGTGCGCGTGCGCGTTTTTTTTTTTCTCAACTAAAAAAATAAACCGAATCGATAACCGAGTTCAAATCGAAATCACCTGTTTGTGGAACTCTTTTGAAAACTTTTAATGCTTCCGCATCTTTTTTCTCATCTTTAACGTAGACGTCGACGAAAAAATCCGATAAATCTTTGAGTATGGGCTGAGAATGGAGTGCGACGAATTGTCGTCTGCAATATTTATTCATTTCGTCGACGGTGCACGCGTGAGTCCAATAACAATCGTGTATGGATGCAAACGTCAGATTGGATTGTTCGCAATGCAAAGCCGTCAACACCATGTGAGACGAATCTAGGGAGTGTATGAAATTGGGTGGGAAAGCATTTTTTTGCTTTCTCTGATTCGGTTTCCTGCAATAAAAAAAAACGGACGTGGATTTGAGAGAGTTTTCTCCCCACTCGAAAGACGCCATTTTAAAAAAAAATGTCTTACACGGGTTCCGCGATCGGATTTTTTCCCGGTTTCCCATAGGGTTGCATGACCAATAATCCTATCGGCGTTATCCATTGCACGAAATTTTTTTGATTGCATATGACTCCAGCGCATTCTATGAACCAATCCTGTATCGTTTTCGCCGACGTGAACATTTTCTGTATGCTCAAAAACGTTTTCTCGCTCAGGTACGTCGCCGCGGGCCACAAATCCTTTTGCGGAAAATTCGGTATGTCTGGAAAAACGATGGGGAAAGAATGAAAAGTTTGAAAGTCCTCCTCCCCCCTCCCCCCCAAAAAAGGTTTTTTTTTTTTCTTTCGAATTCGTACCTTCCAACTGTTTGATTATTTGACGTATGGCTCCGTAACGCGTGACTCCGTACACGGTCGTCATGATTGTTTGTTTCACGACTTTTCTTTTTATGTAACCCTCGAGCTTTTGTGCGATTTTCAAACCATTTTCCGCATCCTTCGCTCTCATCTCTTCTATGATTTCGATAATGCTACTGTAAACGTCTTGAGGCACTTGACTAGGAGTTAAATTAACACTTTTAGCACCCGCCTAAAAGCAGAAGAAAAAAAAAATCACAAACGAACGGAAACTATTATTATTATTATTATCCTTATTATCATTATCATTATTCTCACGTAATCTCGTCCAAGGGCGGCATAATGTTGCAAACCGTTACAGGATCCATCTTGATGAACGGGAAAATGACTCACGTATTCTTCCGGATTTGAATGTTTCAAAACTTTTTTTATTTCCATGCAAGCCGCCAACGTTTGCCAGGGCTCTTCCGATTTGACCCACCATTTATTTCCGGTCAGAGGTTTTTCCGCCGAGTCTAATATTTCCGGTAGCATTTCGTTCGCGTATTTCAATCTGTCCGCCAAAGATTCCTTTTTTTTAATTCCGGTTAAATTAATTACGTGAGTCTAAAAAAAAAAAAAAATTTGTTATCGTTATCATCATCATCATCATTACTATCATTTCCTTTAACGGAAAACTCGATTCGTGAACCTTCAACCAATCGAATCCTTTGGGTCCCAACGGTTTTCCTTTGGCAAAAATCAAAAGGGAACGAAATAAATCACCCCCGATGTGACTCAAATGCGGCGGAATCGGATACACTCGACCGCGAAAATCGTAATTGTGAGGTAACCAAAATATACGATTTCGATACTGAAACAAAAAAGAAAATTCCACATGATGACCAACAGAAAAAAAAAAAAAAAAAAAAAAATTTGAAAAAATTTAACGGAAAAAAAAACCTCACGTGATTGGCTAATGATAATTTATACAACGCTTCGCACCACAACGCGTATTGATTTTGCCGTTCCATGGCTGAGGATTTTTTCTTTTTATATTCTTCGAATCTTTCTTCTTGACTCATTTCGGACGTTATATTCAAAGGATTGTGGTTGTTGACGGGGGTAACAAACGAGGGAACGTCAAGCTCATCATCTCCGCCATTTTGAAAAACTTCTAAAGCCACATCTAACACCTTAAATTAACGTCGCCATTAGAATTATTAATAAAAAAAAAAATTCTCCCTTTCGTCATTCAATCAATCATTCATTCATTCATTCAATCAATCAATCAATCAGTCAATCAATCAGTCTCACCTCTTTATTAACTATCCACGGAGTATTTTGTAAAGTGTTTAAAGCATCGAACGTTACGTACAACTGATGAGAATTTATCGGTTTAAAATCTAATATTTGACTGTTGGGTTCTTTTGGCACTCTGAAACAAACACGGGATTTAAATTTTCAAATATTTTCCCGCCATTTTCTTTTTTTAAAAAAAAAAAAAAAAAGTTAACGGCTGTTTGAGATTTATTCGCTACCTGACAAAATCGGAAGTACTTAATAGATAACCGCCGTCGGTCACGGATTTCCACGGTTTCGGTGGGCATACCATCGGACATTCTTTTGCCGGTATGTACAAATGATCCAAATTGCATTGCTGATAAAGTTTACTGATGATCGGATGACATTTTATTTCTTCAAGAGATTTTTCTTTTTCTTGTCTCATTATTGTGTAAAACACCGGTATGGTTCTACGAATTGAAAAACAAAATGCATGATTAAAACAAGATGGAGGACGTGAGGGAAAAAGAGGGAAGACGTGAGGGAGTGGGAGTGGTGTGCTCTTGTAATCCAGCTACTTGGAGCTACTGGGTGTAGAGGATGGTTTAGGGGCGGGGATTCTGGGATTGGATTTCCCACTAGGGGTAAATCTTGGATGCTTTGGGGGAGCCCGAGGTTGCCAGATTGAGTTGTGTGAGTTCAAATCCTGTGAGTGGGAGTTTCATATCCTGTACCTAAATAAGCGGGAATGTGCCTTGTTCGAGTGAGTGAGTCTGGGTACTTGATCGAAATAGGGAAAATGCGATGTGAAAGGAAGACAGATGAACGGGATTCGCGACCCCAAACATCTCTCTCTCTCTCTCTCTCTCCCTCCCTCCCGGAAAGGATAGAGAACTAGGTGAGGGGTACATATAATACATCTTACCTTTCCATCGAACCGTTGTTTACGACGATCGTTAACTTTTGTAAAATAACATTAAATAAAAATTTTCCTATTTCTTTTTTTATTTTGACCGGCCAATCAACTTCGAGCATTCCCTGGAAAACACGATAATATAGCATAATCTCCATTACCGATGATGATGATAATAATGATAATAAAAACATCACTCACGATAGGATATTTATGAGAATATTCTTCTAATAGCATTTGCCATTGTTGTCTAGAATTGAAAGCAGGTCCCTTTGGATTCTTATACCATTCGCCATATTTTTTAAATAAATGTACCGTGTTTTTAACAATATCACTTTTTTCTTTTTTTATTATTTGAAACCTGAAAAAACACAATCATCGTCATAATAATAATAATGATAATAATAATAATTCTAAATTTCGTTTTAAAAAAAAAAACTTATTAAGTATAATCACCGATTGTAAACTTCGTTTCCCAATTCGATCAGTGTCGTCGTCATGTTCGGATTATAATTTCCAGAATAACCAATTAAATTAGTCACCGTGTCCATCATTATTTTAACGTATTCGTTAACGGATAAACATTCGAGGTAAACGGGTAGAAAAAAACTACGAGTCCTTTTCGCGTTTAATATTTTTTCACTTTTTAAACTTTGACAAAAACCCTCCCACATGTCGACTTTCCATTTTTTTTTCAACATTTCTAAATCTTCGTTCTGAAAGAAGAAGTGACGCGTCCATAAACCATACATACGCACAACAGTTTTTTTTTTTAAAATACAAAAATTATTTAATTACCGCTTGAAACGTATCCATATTTGAATTTTTCATTGTTATCGCTTTGACATAAATTTTACTTTTTTTTTCCAAAAATGATTGTTCTTCTATCAACGAATACAATTTGTTAAATGACATGCTGTCGGTGTTTAAAGGTGACCTTGTGAAAAAAAAATAAATTGTAATTCATTAAAAAAAAAAAATTGAAATTTAATTGTCATCATTATTATTAAAACTCACTCCAATTTATTTTGAGTTTTGTATAAATCATCGAGTAAAGTCCCTTCACTTTTTAAAAATATCCTTTCCGGTGGGATTTCATAATTGGGAAAAACTTCTCTTATCGTTGATAAAATATTATTTATTTGTTGACTGTTTAAATTTGTTTGCCTTAAAAGATCCCCGAGGGAATAATTCTGAAAATAATAATAATAATAAAAGGTTTTGTTTTAGAATTTGTGAGGAAAAGGGGGAGAGAGAAAGAGAGAGAGAGAGAGGAAGGGGAAATCAAATTTTACTAACCTCCCTTTCCATCGTATTAAAAACTAGAGTAACTTGTTTTTTCCAATCTTGTATCGACATGACTTTTTTCCCTTTTACAATACCCAAACAATTAAGTAAAGCTGCATAGGTTTGCAAATTGAATGATATTTTATCCGCCATCATTAATTTAATCAATTTACAAAAAATCGTCCAATTATGCTATGAAAAAAAACAATGATAGAGACAAGTTTTGTTATTTTCTCCTTTTTCCATTAAATCCTGATGGATATAATCATAAAAGAAAATGACTTACAGGATATGCGAATAACAAATCGTTATAAACTAAAACTACATCTTGAACTTTTAGAATTTCAGGCCATATTGATTTCTTTCTAAAATGTTCTAAAATTTTAAGAGCATCTTTCGATTTATTGCACGTTATGGCCACATCAACGTACGAGTGAAGTAACGATAAATTTTCGACAACTGTTAAATTATTATTTTTATCATTAATTTTAAATAATTCTTTTCGAAGGCTGAAAAATAATAATAATAATTATTATTATTAACAATGTGTTAGGTTGACGATTGATAAACATACAATTTCAACAATACATTACCTGTAATTATTTGTTTGAGTGTTATTCTTCGATAATTTTTTCGATTCTTCTTCCTTACTATTATTATTATTATTTAAAAAAAATGGCGGTTTGGGAAATTTATTGTAAATTTTATCTTGGTATGTCATGCTGGGATTTTGAGCGAATGCTTTTATATCATTCGGTTTTAATTGTTGTATTTTAATTTTTGTCTTTGTACTATTGTCACTGGTTATGTTCATCAATTCCGAATATGAATTCTTACATGGTTTTTCTTTTTTTCTTTCTTCTCGAAGCCATTTCTCATGTCTTTTTAATATGTATCTTATAACGGAACTATAATTTGTTGTTGACCTGTATGTTTTGCATTCTGAAAAACACAAAAAAAACATTTTGTCATGTTTGTATGTTAAAAACAAATCATGTTATTGTGTGTGTTGATAATACTTACGATTATTAACTAAAACGAAACGTTTTAAACATTCTGTGCATGTTTTACTGCGATTAAACATTTTATCACATAAATATTTATTTATTTATTTATTTATTACACTTAAATTATTAATAATCCATAACAAAAAATTTTAACTTTGTGTTTAGTGTTTAGATATCATCACATTTTAAAATAATTTTTTTTTTTTTTTTTTTTTTTTGGTCCCCTAACGATTGTGATTCACGCATTCAATGCGTACCGTTAATAATTATAATCAATCGTTAGAAACGATTAAAAATTAATTTTTTTTTTTTTTTCTCTCACCCTTTTTGGTTATATAAAACCGGCATGGCAAATCCATTTATACATAAAAAAAAAAAAAAAAAAAAAAAATTGTAAAAAAAAAAATATGATAACATAATAATAATAATAATAATCTCACGCGTTGTGAATTTGACTATTATTATTATTATTAATAATTTTTTATTATTGTTATTAATTAACGATTTGAAAATGTTTAAGCTATTATTATTATGTTAAATTAATAATTAAACAATAATAATTAATAATAAATTGTTTAACATTTATGTTTAAGAGAATAAAAAAAAAAAAAGTGTTCGTTAAATTTAGCTCGTACGTAAAGCTCATTTGTTGTGACTATAATCGACCGCGTAAGTGTTACCAATGTTACCAACATTGAGAAAAATCGTAATTAAGGTGTTAGTCTAAATGTTGTTAATTCCGATATATATATATATACTTTCATTAATTATTATTACAAATAAAGTAATTATTTTTAAATATTAATAATAATATCGTTATTAAGTACATATCTACGAATTAGTATCGTTTCCCCCCTCCCCCTCCCACCCCCTTCTTTTCACATTTCGTAGGTAAGCTAATTAATTTTTTTTTTTTTTTTTAAATTAAATTAATTGTATGTAAAGAGTGAGAGAAAAAAAAAAGAACGTGATGGTGATTTGCCCCGGAAAAAAGCAATATATCAATCGCGTTCCATTTTTTTTTTTTTTTAAATAAAAAAAAAACCGTTAAAATTCTTTTTTTTTTGGTAACGACCACCACCACCACCACCACATTATAATGTATAAGTTTTACATAATAATATACATTTACCGTCAAAAATTTTATCTCGTTTAATATTAATTAAGTGAAGAGAGAGAGAGAGAGAGAGAGAGAGAGAGAGAAACGCTTAAATTTTTTTTTTTTAAATTAATAATAATAAAAGTGATATAGTGTTGTTATTTAATTAATAGTTACATATTTATTTATTTATGTATTATTATTATTATTATTTGTTGTGCTCATGTGGTTACAGGTTTGTTTTTATTTATTATATTATTATTATTATTATTATTATTATTTGATATTTCATAATCAATTTTAAATATTTATGAAATATCAATACATATATATAGAATATAAGTGGATAAGTATGCTTATTAAGTATTTAAACCCATTTTTTTCGAATGTGAAAAAAAATCACTTTTTGTTAAAAAAAAAAATTTTCTGCACACACATTATTTATTACATTACATAAATTATTATTATTATTATTATTAAATATGATTGATTTATGTGTAGGTGTTAAAATAAAATAAATAAATACCTCTTGGCATTAATATCACAATCGAATTCGTAGCAGAATTTCTATATGTGAGATACCATTATATGAATAATACATAGTTCGAGTGAGGAAAAGACGAAACCTGTAAGGAAAAAGAAAAATTAATATTAATGAAGAAATATCATAGATATGGATGTGGATTATATGAGAAAGGAAAAAAAAGATGAAGATGATGATTTTACATATAATTCAAAGGTATGACATTGTCTAATCATATTAATTTCATTTTATAATCATTTTATCATTAAAAAAAAAAAAAAAGTTATCGTTATAAAGTTTTTCTTTACAGGATTACATATATATATATATATATATATATATGTGTGTATATTATGAAGATTATTTTAAAATTGAATTTTTTATTAAAGGTACTGAAAAAAAAAAAAAAAATCAAATAAATTGATTAAAATTAAATATTATTATTATTATCAATGTACACGAGAATCGTACATAATTTTTTTTTTAATATATATAATTTATTATAATTATTTGTAATTGTGTAAAGTGTTAAATTGGTTTTTTAAAATGTGTATGTGTTAAATAAGGAAAATGTTTAATTTGAGAGGTTAAAAAAACATTTGTGTATTTGCTTTTTGTTAATATTGTTTAAATTTTTACATTACATATTAATTAATTTACGATATCATTACTATTATTATTATTATTATTCACTTTTTTATCAAACAAATGTAGTGTGTGTTTGTGTGTGTTTATTTAATAAATAAATGACGGCAAAAAAAAAAAAAAAAAAAAAAAACGTTTTTATCAGAAAATAAAAAATTTCTTTTTCTTAACTATAGATATTTGTTTTTCGAGAATAAATAATAATAATAAAAATGAAAATGATGTATTAAATTAATGACGTCATTAATTATGGTTAAAATTTTTTTTTTTTTTGTTGCAGGTTTTAGAATTTTTAAAAGCCAAAGTTAAATTAGATAATGGAGAAGATGGTTACGTTTTTACGAAAAGCACGGAGGAAAATCCCAGGGGAAGATTTCGTTGTCACGTTTGTAACGTACCCATCGGTAGCACGAAAAGTTTGGAAGAACACACGTCGGGTAAAAATCACACGAGGAGAATGCAAGCTCAATTTCATTCACACGAAAATTTTTCAAAGATCGTCATTAAAGAATCATCCAAATTATCCACGGGTAAATTAAATTTAACCATCGTACCGTAACGGTCGGTCCATTTGACAAGAGTTAATAATTTTAGATGTCGGTGGAAAAGTCATCAAGGCACCCGGTGTAGACATACCGGATTTGGCACCGGGTGAACCCGTACCTCCCGGTTTTGAAGATATAGTCACGAGAGTACCGGAAATAACGTCGACTTTGGACGAAATGAAAGCTCCTCTCATTGGATTGGAATATCTGGCTGAAATCACGCCCGTCGGAGATGAAGTCGAACCCAAATATTGTTGTCTCCTGTGTAATAAAAGAGGAGATCCGAGAACGGTTTTAGCACATTTAGTTTGTTTTAATCATAGAATTAAATATATTGTGAGCTTTTTTCTCTCTCTCTCTCTCTTTCTCTTCACGTTGAATTGTATCTCTCTATCTCTCTTCTGTTAACTTTATAGTTATGGGATTTTTTTTTTTTTTTTGCTTTTAGGGACGATACTTTCCTAGAACGAACACAGCTTTGGCTTTGATACCGAAAGTGAAAGAGTATAAAAGAGGAACTGGAGAAGTTCTCGCGAAAATAGTCAAAGCCATAGAAAGTAAATTTGGTCGTTTGAATCCGGTCATCGTCGACGGAGCCATATTCGATGAGAAAAAAGAAGAATATTATCGGGAAATGAGATTGGGAAGACATTTTCACGAGACGGCGGATTCGAATTACGAATTGCTCGTGGATTTGGATTTTATTAAAAAATGCGCTCCCGAAGCAGGTATGCGCTCCCTTACATACACCGAAGAAGAAGATGAAGGCGTGGAGTACTCAATTTTTTTTTTTTTTTTTTTTGGTTTTAGATACCGTTTTGACGATAGATATAGAAAAAGAAGAAGCGAAAAAAAGGTCGACGGCTTTGAAAAACGAAATGAACAAAACGAAAATGAAAAATTCGACGACGACGACGACGACGACGTCGTCGTCGTCCCCGTCGTTTGTCGACAATTGTTGTCTGGATAAGAGAGGGAATTATGAGAAAAGATTGTTGTTGCCAAGATCGAGTCGTGGTAATTCCAAGGTTAAAAGAGAAAAATCCGTTGAAACGATTTCAACGACGTCAGCATCTCGATCGTATTCCCGTTCGAGATCAAGATCGTATTCACGTTCGCGATCCCGTTCCCGTTCGAGATCGAGTTCCCTATCGAAATCACGGTCCCATACCCATTATCGTTACGTTCGTAAAGACTACGAAAATTCGGATGTGAGATCGAGATCTCCTCGTTATTACGGTCGATCTAGATCTCGATCGAGATCTAGGAGTCGCGGGGGTTCGAGTTATCGACGTTATCGCTCGACAACTAATTATAGAACAAAATCTCCTGTTTATGTTAGGCCATCGTTTAGGACCATTCGCTACGACAGGTACGTTTTTTTAATTATACATGTACCGAGGTAAAAAAAAAAAAAAAAGAAAAATTTTTTTTCAAAACGCTTTTTTTTAATCGTTGTTTATGTCATTGATGATGATGATGATGATGATGATTTCCGTTAAGTAAAAACCGATCAGTTTTCCAAATAAATAAATAAATAAATAAAATTTTGTGTGAATTTAAATAGATTTTAAAAATTATTGTTTGTGAAAATTTGTTTTTGTGCGTATTATTTATTCAATTTTTTTTTTTTTTTTGTTTTGTCAAATGTCTTGTTTTAATTTAGGTTCTGAACGATTATTGAATTTTTCAGCTTGTATAACGATGACGATTACGCTAGTTTCGAAAGGCCGAAAAGTACTCAATCAAAAGTTGCCGAACTTCGTGATAAGAGAAAAAAAAGGGATTTGTACGTTGAGTACGTTGAAAAATTAGAAAAAGACATGGCGAAAACGTTGAAAAATTACAAAAAAAATCCGGAAAAACATCCGCTGTATCCGGCGGAATGGAAAAAATTTTGGAATCGTCGTTACAAGGAACTCACGGCCGAAGGCGTCGATGCGACGAAACACGATTTCAAACCCGAATGGATTAAATTTTGGCTTGTGAGAATGAAAGAATTGCACAACGAAGAACTGCAAATGAAAAAGGAAAAATACAAAACGGAAATCGGTCTCGTGGAAAACGATAAATCGAGCGGAATCGATTCCGACGTCATCGAAGTGTCACCGACTCCGTTGGAGTTGGACGATAAGAGCAACGTGACCGTTGAAGACATCAAAAACACTTGGAAAGCTCTCACGGGTAGCGAAATAAAGGGTGCGAAAGAAAATTCGACGGATAAATCCGACAATTACGAATTGGGAATGGTCAATTCAGAATTCGAATCTCAGGTCAGAGTCATAACCGTGTTGAGATTGTTGACGGCGTTGGAAAATCAATTGGGATCGTTGGGACCACGCGTGAACAATTTACTTGCACAAGCTATCGCTTTGGAAAAGAAGAAACCCAATTCGTCGGATGGTTTGATTGACGTGTCCGAAAACAACGTTCTCTTCGAAACGGTCAAGGAAAAACTCAAGGGACAATTGTTTGCGGGCATTGTCGAAAAACACATGGTCAACGCCACACGAACGGCCATTCAAAACGTTGCCGAACTTTTTAATTCTTGGAAAGCTCGTAAAAGTAATCCACCCCCCGTTTCTCCTTCCGTTTTATCCGCTCCCGCGATTATGCCGACTCCCGTTTCGTCGGAACCTCTCATAGTGCCCGGAATCGGAGCGGTCGATAAAATCGCCATCGCTCAGCAAATTGCGGCTGCTCTAATCGCTCAGGGAAAGACGAACGTGACGGAACAAGAATTAGAGCAGCTCATAAATGCTGTGGTCGGAATGGCGCAGGCGACGACGCGTCAATCTCCGATTCCCGTTGCGACTACGGTTCCACCGCAACCCATCGCGTATCCTTCTCCATTGGCTTTCCCTCCCGTTTATTCCCCGAACGCACCCTTGGCACAAAGAGAACAAGACTTGAAATATTCGGTTGTTGTACCGCAACAATTGTCATCGACGGTGGCGAAAACGAACGTGAACGCAACCCCTGCGAAAAATACGTTAACAACGTTTGAGGAAGTCAACAATTTTAAAAATAAAAAGAGTTTCATGTCGAAAGAATTGAGCGAAGAAGACATGAAATCCTTGTTACAAAATTTTAAAGACTTGTCCTCGGAGGAACAGCAAAGTTTGATTGCGTATTTGAAAGAAATGGAATCCAAAGATCCCAACAGCGTGGAAAAATTACGACAATTTGTCAATTTCGTCGGTGACAATCCTTTGAAATCCGAATCGTCGAAATACAAGGAAGAGTCGAATGCGACGTCCGGAAGACTTTCTCCCTTTTCGATGAGAGAAGGAGGTGCCAATCCATTTATAGACGACGGGTCTAAAACATGTTCGAAAAATTTGAACGATGACGAAGACGACGACGACGACGATCACGATGTCGGTAATGGAAATGATAACGTTGACGACGTCGTCGAAGGCGACGATGACGACGACGACGACGACGACGACGATGATGATTACAGTTACGAAGATATTTACAAAGCCGCGGAAAAGAAAATTTCAGGGAGATCCGTCGTGGAAAAAATGATTGAAGAACAACAGAAAAAGGTCAAACTTTCGCAACCCCCCCGTTCGTCACCCGCGAGCGAACAAAATTCATCGAACGAAACAACAACAACAACAAACGTGAATAAATCCGACGATCCCGAACTCGTTTTGAGCGAAGCCAAAGTCATGATAGCCAACATAATGGGTCAGTTGCCATCTAAGTACAACGTGGGAGCGACGAGGAACGCGAACGTTCGAAATTCGTCGAACTCTACGTCGCGAACGTCGCTTCCGCCACCGCCGACGGGAGTGGCGGCGGCGGCAGCAGCCGTCCTCGACGTTTCATCATCGTCGACGACGACTTCCTATTCGTCTCGGACATTTTACGAAAATTCACCAAGTGCTGCGACAAACAAAATACCCAACAACAGTGGTTGTTTACCCAACGATTACGGTTATCAGGATCATAGTAGTAACATGTTCGGTTATTCGAATTGCGAGAATTTCACCAATTATTCTCTCGGTTCGGAAAGTTACCACCCGGATCCGAATAACGGTAACGATTCGTACTCTCAAAGGTCGCAAACTTTGACTTATTCGAGTTATCAAAACGCAGAACAAAATTCTTATCACGGTTACGAATCGTGGAACGATTCATACTCGCAGTATTCGCACGCACAGTCAACCCCCGGATACGGGTGTCCGACTTCTATACCTCCACCAATGATTAATTACAATAGGAATACAGTGATGCCGTACGAAACCCCCGCCACGAACGAATACAATAATACTTTAACGATGTACAACAACAGCCACAACAGCAGCAGCAGCAACAACAGTAACAACAACCACAACCACAACAACAGCAACACATATAGGGAATATTATTAGAATATTCATTTATTTAATTTATTAAATTGTTTCATTTATACAAAAAAAAAAAAAAAAAAAAGTAAATATATGTAAATTTTTATGTTGGAATGACTTATTTTTTTAATCCAAAAACTAACAAACATAAATATCGATATGTATATATTTATCAATTTAAATCGAATTTTTTTAATAATATTATTATTTAACGGTTATGAAAAAATAAAAAATAAAAACAATTTTTTTTTCTTTCTTTTTTTTTTTTTTTTTTTTTACTTTTCAGGACGGAATCGTTTGATGCCACGACAAAAGGTTAATTTTTGGGTTTTTTTTTAATAATTGTTAATAAATGCTTTTTTGCTTTTTTGCTTTTTTTTATTAACGTGTCCGCACGAATACGCGCGCGTAATAAATAATAAAAAAAAAAAACACTCGCGAAGGTAATAAAATTAATAATAATAATAATGCGTAATAAAAAATTAAAAAAAAAAAAAAAAAAAACACTCGTTAACGGACTGTAAAAGTCTGACTAATAATAATAATAATAATAATAATAATAATAATAATAATAATAAAAACGAAACGTTATCAAAAGAAAAAAAAAAATTGTTTCACTTTTTTTTTTTTTTGTTTTTATTACGCGTTATCACGAATCGAAAACGTTATCAAACCATAAAAAACAAAAAAAAAAAATTTTTGATAATTTATTCGACGCCATTATTATAATTATTATTATTATTATTATTATTATTATTATTATTATTATTATTATTATTACGCTTGTAAATTTTTTTAAATTTTAGTTATTAATAATAATAATAATTTATTTCAGGATCCGGATTTTATTACGTTTTGAAAGAAAAAAAATTATTTATTTATTTATTACGTGTGTGACGTCATCGTTTTATAAATTTTTAATTAAAAAAAAATCGAAAATGGGGGGGAAAAAAAACTATTATTATTATTATTATTTACTTCCGGTTTTTTTAAACAGAAATTTCTCCGAATGTTTCCAAAAAAAAAAAAAAAAAAAAAATTCGAATTTTTTCGATTACTCCCTCTCTCTTTTCCCTCTCCTCAACAGCTCTTTCCCCCCTCCCAATTCCGTTGTTTAACAATCTTTTGTACATCGCGGAATCCCCATTATTATTATTATTATCGTCACGACCGAGAAGGTTAAAGTTTAAAATAAAGTTATAATTAAAAATTTTATGATAAAAGTTTTTGTTTCATTTTTTAATTATAACCTTTTAGGTGTTTCTGCTGTTGTTGTTGTTGCTGTTGCTGTTGTTGTTCAATTAATAAGAAAATAAAGGGAGGCGTGGTTTATTATTAACCTTTTCACGTTTTCTTTCTTTTAACGTAAAAACTTCCTTTTCCTGTTGTGCCCTTTTTTTTTTTCTTAAAAGTTTGATCGATATTACCACCCCCCCCCCCGAAAAAAAAAAAAAAAAAAAAAAAACAAAAACATTTTTTTAAATGTATTTTAATCATTATTATTATTATTATTATGTAATTTCCCTTTACGATTATCCCGTACGTTTGTTTTTCTTTTTTTCTTTCGATTCCTTTGATGATGATAATAATAATAATAAGGTTTCGGGAAGGGAGGGGGGGGATTTAAATTAATTAATTACCGGAACGTTTTTTTTTTTTTTTTTTCGGTAACGAATTTTTCTTTTTTTTTTAAATCGAATAAAAAAATGGCGGATTTTTTTTTTTTTTGTTAAATTAATGGAAATTTAATAATAATAATAATAATTTTTTTCTTTACAGTTATTTGCCGGAAAAAAAGGAAAATGATGGCGGTTTTAAAAACGTTTCGGTTTACAAATCAAAAAAAAGGAAAAAGAAAAAAATGGCCCTAAAAATAACGGGATGATGATGATGATGATGATTATGAGGTGAAAACGGTGGGAGTTTGCGCCCTTGTTTTTTTTTTTTTTTTTTTTTTTTTTTGTCATATCCTGGAAACGGATCGTTGACGACGCATGCCACAAACATAGCAGAAGATACAACAAGGAAAGAAGGAAGTTAAAAAAAAAATGACGAACAAAATATCAAAATCGATTTAGCAGTGAGTCTTTTTCATTTATTTTTTTTTTTTTTACTATTGCTGTTGCCTTTTGCTGTCGTTTAAAATTTTAATTTGTTTTTCCAGTACGATTAACGCGTCACCATTTTGGAAAAAAAAAAGAAAATTTTATAAATTAAATATATGGAAAAATATTTGATTGAACTTTTTTAACAAAAAAAAAAAAAAAAGTGAAAAGTGCATTAAAGAAGAAGAAGAAATAATATCACGTGACGAAAAATTTCAAATCGTAATAATAATAATAATAATAATAATAATAATAAATTCGGGGGAAAAAAAAAAAAAAATGAAAGGAAAAAATTCGAAATAAGTGGGAAAAAAATTTTCTTTTCGTTTCGTTTTTCGCGTCGATGGATAGCGAAGGAGAAGAAAATCAAAAATCGACAACAAGTGGATCCTTCGTTAAACTTGTTCAGGATAAATACAAATCGGATTCGGATGACATCGAATCGGACGATATCGATGATATCGAATTGGTTTTCACGACAGGAGAAACGGATCCGAATTCTATACACGAGGATTTGGTACCCATAGCCGAAGAAAGTAGCGGAAACGATGATTGTTCATCTTCTTCTTACGGCAAAACCGTGCTACTACTGGAAACGGATATATCGAAATGTGGTATAGTAGACGACAGCGACGATGGTATATATTCCGGTCGTCGAAACACTCTTCCCGATCCTTTACCCTATCAGCCCATAATTCACCGGGAAATATTTTCCGGGAGTAGTTTTAGAAGGGCTACTGCGACCAAGGGTAAGGGGGTCGTGACAGCGGCAGCAGCCGCAGCCACCACCGCTGCCGCTGCGTTACCTCCTCACACTCAAGAAACGAGCGTTCAAACCGACATAACGGCATTGCCATCTCACCATCAGTGGAAATCCGAAACGTATTTGGCTCATAAAATAAATTGTAATTTAACGACGCTACCCTCAAAGTTCACATTGCCCGTGCCACAAATGAAACGTCTTCCCTTATCGAATAAGACAACGTGCGAAGCTCGCCGAGTACTACTTTCCGACATTAATTTCACGAGCATGGTACCCGAACTCTCGCGAAGCGCCGATCATTTACACGATGAAAACATGGAAACGACGTACAAAAATGATAAAAAAACGGGGGGCAACGTTTTCGAAACGAAACTTCCTCCCAACGACAATTGCTGTTGCGAATTTTTACGACGACAAGATAGTCGATCGAGTTGCGGAAGTAGTTGTTACTACGGAAGTCGGTACTATCAAACCTCGACCAATTCCATACAATCCCAATCGGGTTTGAATGATGACGTAAGACGAAGGCATTCGGCAGGGTGGAAACAACAACCCAAAATATCCGCAACGCAAATATTTTCCTGTCCTTCGAAACAGTGCATATGGTCGTCCATTCATCATCATCATCCTCCTCCTCCACCACCACCACCGTTTCCTCCTTCTTCTTCTTCTTCTTTGTTGAAATCCAACTATTATCATAATCGTCATTATCATCATTATTCTCAGGGTATGCACGAAAGCGCATCGGAAAATTTTTATCATTTGCAAAAGGAAATGCGTAAACAACCGAAAATACACTTTCACTGTTGCTACCTTTGCAGACAATCAATGCCGAATTTGCAATATGAAATCGATAGCGAAGAATCAACGGAATCCCTTATGGACGAAGCAGAAGAATTTTTAAGAAGGTCCGTCGATAACATGATGATGATTAATTCGAATCAATTGAAAAAATTAGAAAGGAGATTTTCCGACACGGATTCGATATACTGTAAGTCGTCATTCTCAAAAACAATGAGAGGAACCGGAAATAGGGATTGTAATATTATTATTATTATCATTTTCAGGTTTGGGTCCTCCGAAAACGGCACAACCATTCCTACCGAAAACGGTTAACGACATTTTTCCAAATTGTTACGTTAAGGTAATTAATCCGCAGGGTAAAGTAGTCGTTGGAAAAGTCAAATTTTGCGGTCACGTACCTGAAAAATCCGAACCTTACGTGGGAATAGAATTGTTTAACGGAAATGGTGGTGGAGGATCTTCAGACGGTACATTTATGGGTCATAAATTTTTCGATTGGTGAGTTTTATAATTACTTCTCGTTTAAAAAAAAAAAAAAAAAAAAAAACGCCATTTTTAAAAAAATTTTTTCTTTTTCAGCGAACCCGGACGTGGTCTTTTCGTACCATTTAAAAAAGTCGTGATTGCATGGAGCGTCTGAACATACAAACAAACAAACAAACAAACAAACAAAAACAAACACGAAGGAAGGAGAAAGAGAGAGAGAGAGAGAGAGAGAGAGAGAGATAGAGAAAAACTTTCTAGAAACTTTCGTGCCAATTGTTGTTTAAACGAAAATTTTTTTTTTTTTGTTTTTAATTAAAAAAAAAAACTAACAACGCTTTCGACGGCTCGTTAAAACTAATTTAATTTTTTATTTAAAAAAAAAATGGCGGCGTCGACGGTTAATTTTTTTTTTACAATGATCGTTAAGACCGTCCTTTGAAAAATTTGAATTTTTTCTTTTTCCCGCGCTCGCATCGTTTCCGTTTTAAATTATTAACCGAAACCGGAATTCGTTACGCCGAAAATAACAAATTAAAAAAAAAAAAAAAAAAATCGTGTCATTAGTCGAGATGCGTTATTATTATTATCAAATTTTTTGTTAAAAATCAATCGCCGCTGTCTCTCTTCGTTTACGATTAAATGCTAATAATAATAATGATAAAAATGACGATTTATTTTTTATACGCGATCAATATATATATAAATAAAGTTTATGTGAATGAATGAATGAGTGAACGAACACCGGAAGTGTCGTTTAAATTTTTTTTTTTTACCCTTGATTTTAAAATAAGAAACGTAATAATAATAATAATAATAATTAAACTGCTGCCACGACTGCGTTAAAGTATAATAAAAAAAAACTCGCATTTTGTTAAATGTTTTAAATGTTTATTTATTGTATCTAAAAAATTTTAATCGTGCGCTCACGTTTTTGTTTTATTCGTATAAAAAAAAAAAAAAGTTGTCGTGTCATTAGATTCATTTATACGCCCTTTTTGCACGGATGAAAACAACAAATAAATAAATAAATGAAAAGTCTGCCTGCGTTTCGTCGCCGTATCATTTTTACATTTTTTTTGGGGGGTTATTTCTTATTAAAAAACATCGATAAATACGATGATAATAATGATGATGATGATGATGATGATGATGATGATGATGAAGATTAAATGAAAATCAAAGGAATTTATATAAATAATGGAAGAGTCAATCGACGATTGGATTTTTCCAAAAAAAAATTGTCATGTGAACAGTTAAATGTTTCCGTCCCGCTCTTTTTCCCTTCTCTACCACCCCCACCCCCTTCTCCCCTTCTCCCTTTAAATCTCTTATCGATAACACCATTGTTAGGGAGGAGAGAGAGAGAGAGAGAAAGAGAAAAATCAAATCAATTATATTATTAATTTTTTTTTTTTTTTTTTTTATGTAATCTCACAAATGGGGGAAAATTAATTTTAATAAAATGATGTGATATAATCATAATAATGATAATGTTAATGATAATGATAATGATAATGATGATATTTATATATATTATGTAATTCGTATTCTCTGTTATGAAATTCTAAACAAAAAAAAAAAAAAAAAAAAGAAAAAAGAAAAAATTTTTATCTGTTATTATCTGTATGATGTATATACATATATATATTTTTTAAAATTATGATCTTATTGTTGATCCTAAGCTTTGATTTTTATCGATAACCAATCGATAATCGATCGATACATAAAATTTTTCCTTTAAAAAAAAAAACGCGAAAAATTAATGAAAATTTTTTTTTTATTAATGTCACAAGTAAAATCCTACAAATTTTATCCGTGAGACATTTTATTATTAATTCGATTAATTGATTGATTGATTGATTGATTGATTGACTGATAGTTATTTTGTTTGATGACGTAATTAATTAAATTGCACCGTTCGAGTAATGATGACGTTTATAAATAGAAAAAAAAATAAAAAAATTGCACTGGAAAAATTTTTTGTTTGTTTGTTTTTTTGGATTTTAAATAAATTAATTTATTTTAAAAAAAATTTTAATAATTTATTTTTTTAATAATAATAATAATTCACCTGAACCGTAACCTCCATTTTTTTTTTTTTAAACTGCTTTAAAAGCAAAAAAAAAAAAATAAAAAATAAAAAAAACGTTTTTCCAAACTTTTAATTATATATAAACGGAAAAATTATTTAATCAAGTCTAAAACCGTTCATTTAGTTAGTAATAAAATCCAATAGATGGCATTACACTATCCAATCGCGCAGTCTTACGAATCGAAATAGTTACAAAAAACGACACCAGGTTTTTTTTTTATATATAATGATCGATAGTTGTAAATAATAAATAAATAAATAAATAAAATAAAGTATCGAACGTTCAATTATCGATCGAGATTATTATTATTATTATTATTATTATTATTATTATTATTAATTTTTGTATCATTAAGTAAAATAAATAATTTAAAAAAAAAAAAATAAAACCATTATTATAAAAATCGATTTTAATCACGTACGATATTAATAATTACCCCCTTCCCTCCTTCCCCATTTCCTCCCCATTCCCTCCCACTTCCTCCTTCCTTTTCCGCGGAGGGGGGGGGGTAATAAAAATTATTTGGAGTTGAGAGTGCGTGCGAGAGAGAATTCGTGTTAATTTCAAATTTAAAAAAAAAAAAAAAAATTGAATATTTAAACGGTTTTTTTCGATAAGTTTCTACGCATCTCTCTTTGTGTAAGACGCCGCCGCCACTCTCACCACTCCCACTACTCCCACCACCACCGCTTCTGCCGCGAACGCCGCCTCCCCCGTTTAACCCGATGTCGGCGTCAGTGACGTTCGGTGTTCCTACGGTATCGTTAGTTTTTAAACGTAAAACGAAAAATTAAAAAATTATTAATTAATTAATTTGTTTTAATTATTATTATTATTAATATTTTTAAATAATAATCATTATTATTATTATTGTTATTTTATTAATAATAAAAATTTCGCGTACGTGTGAAAAAAAATTAAACGAACGAACGAACGGTCGCGATTAAAATTTTTTAATTTTTTTGTTCACGTTCGTACGCATCCATCAACCGAACGTAGTCCAAATTTTAATTGTTGTTATTTTCTCTATGAACTTTGATATTATTAATAATCGAATTTTTTAAAACCGTTCGGCGGAAACAGTTCGGTAGCAGTTCGGTAGAGAAAAAAAAAATAAAAAAACGAAAACGAATCTCCGAACGGATTAGTTAAAATGTGTGTGTTTTAATAAAAAGTGAATAAAATATTAAATTGTTATTATAATAATAATAATAGTTTATATATAAAATCGAATTTGTTAAAATTTTTTTTGTTTTTTTTATATTAATAATAATAATAATGTTTACGTAACGGAAGAACCAGAAGACGTAAAAATATATAATATGAAAAAACGAAAGGTAAGCAAAACAAACAAACAAAAAAAAAAAAAAAAGTCTTCGATCCGAAAAAAAAAAAAAAAATTAATTAAATTAAATTAAATTTTGTTCTGGTGCCACGTTATTTTTTTTTCTTTGTTTTCTCTTCTATTCTTAATTCGTCGTACAATTTTTCGATTAAATTCTAGAAAAAAAAAAAAAAGTAAAAAAAAAATAAATATATATCTATACGTGTTCATTTTCTTACGCGTGTGCGTGTGCGTGCGTGTACGTGTGCGTGTGTGTGTGCGTGTAAGTGCGCGCCCGTTTAAAAAAAAAAAAAGTTTTAAAAAAAATGTAAAAAATAATTTTTTTTTTTTCCCCGATAAAATGTCCGATAATGAAAAATTTAAAAGTTTTTTTAGTTTTTTCCGGTTTTTTTTTTTTTTGGAGGGGGAGGGAAGGGGGGGAGGTGAAATATTGACCGGAAACAAACGTAACATTATTATTATTATTATTATTATTATTAATGCGGATTTTTTTATTTCGTCATTGTCAAATTAAATAATTTTTTTTTTTTTTTCGGTTTCAAAAAATTTAATTTATTATTTATTTATTTATTTATTTATACATATATACGTTATTCTAACCTTTGAAAATTTCCTTTTTTTAAACGTGGGGTGGTAGTGGTGGCGGTGATGAGGGTGGAGAAAATTTTCGAGATTTTCTTTTATTTAAAACGAACGAACGTTCCTGAAACGAAATGAAAAACCTTTTCATTTTTTTATTTTTTCCTAAACGAGTAACATTATTATTATTATTATTATTGTTTTATGTTGTTTGTTAAAACATAAATCACCCCTTATTAATTAATTAATTAATAATAATAATAATAATAATAATAATAATAATAATAAATGAACGCGTATATTGGAAATAAAAAAAAATAAATAGCGGGAAAAATTAAAATTTATATCATCATCACATCCGAATTTTTTAATATATTATTATCATCATCATCATTATTATTATTATTATTTTTATTACGTAATTAATTATCGTTAATTAATGAGTTTGATAATTAATTAATTACGGTAACAAATCGAACGTAAATAACAATGGGAGTAATTTTTTTTTTCATTTGTTGAGAGAGTCTCCCCGTAAAAGAGCGTTAAGGGAAACGTTAAGAAAAAAAATGATGATAATGATGATAATGATAATGACGATGATGATGACGATGATGATGTAGAAAAATATCAAATGATAATAATAATAATAATAATTAAAAATTTTACAAGAGTAATAAATAATAATAATTTTGGGGGGTATAGATTAATTCCACATCCCGATTTTGTCTGGCTGATCACGTTGTTCCCGTCGTTTTATTCCCGTTATTCCCGATTTTTTTTTTTTTTTGGGCATTTTATTTTCTATTATCTATATAATAGAAAACCTCTCAAATTTCATTTTACTTTTTAATTTTCTTATACGGAAAAAGGGTAATAAAAAACCGTAAGTAAGTAAGTAAAGAAAAAAAAAAAATTAAGTGGGAAACTATACGTACAATTTTCTCTATCTCTCTTTTTTATTAGGGTAATTAAATTATTATTTTTAAAAGGAAATGAAAA